ATTTCGGCACCAACCCACGATTCGGGACTGCCGTCACCGATGCCGCTGAAACCGCAGCGCCCGCCATGCTTTGACCCGAGTCAACGGGGTGGTCCTACCGTTCAGGCGTGGTTATTCACAATGAATGTTTTCTTCGACGCCAACTACGTCTCGGAGGACTCGGCGAAGATTCGATACGCCGTGTCGTTGCTGCGAGGACCCGCCATGGACTGGTGGCGCGTCATCGTCACGAAGCCGACCGACTACGCGACACTACCGACACGGGAAGGACAAACCGGACCCTGGGCGCCGTCGTATTTCGTGGAGGTGCCCCAGTATCGCACGTGGGACGCGTGGTGCGCAGGTCTGCGCGCTCGATTTGAGCCAATCGCGGCCTCGATCTCGGCGCGACAGAAGCTCCGCACTTGGCGCCAACTCGGTTCCGTCCAGGATTACACGAGCGGATTTCTGGCGCTATGCGAGCAGGTGGGCTACATGCATGAGAGCGAACGCATCGACCGCTACATCGGCGGCCTGAAGCAGGACATCGCTCAGGAAATCCAGCTTCGCGGCGTCACTGAGTTTCAGGAAATTCTCGCTATGGCGGAGAAGCTCGACTTCTTTCGCCGACCGAGACCGGGGTCCTACGGAAACAACACCTGGGGACATCGGCCTCGTGGGACGAACGAGAGCGCCACGATACGCGCCGTCGCCGCAAATGCCGCTGCCGCACCGTTCAAAGGGCGCTGCTTTGCGTGCAATCGGCCGGGACATCGCAAGAGCGAATGCCCGGAAAACGCTAAGGGAAAGGGGGAAGCTGAGCAGCAGACACAGACCAAGCAGCAGGGAAACGCTGGAAGTCAGTAGCAGACGGGCCCTCTACTGACAGGTCACGCCGCTCGCCCGACCCAACCGACCCTCACCGAGTGATTGTGCCGGTTCACGCAATCGACCACACCCGGCCGAATAAGGAGGGTACCACGGTAGATAGCCCTATACTGCTCAGTGGGAAAATTGGGACGGACTTAGTTAAAATCTTCGTAGATGGGGGAGCCAGCCACAGCCTCATTAACACTGCTACAGCACGAAAATTGCGACTGCCACTGGACCGATGCTTACCTGAGATCGACGCACGACTGGTAGACGGCACGCCGCTGGCAATACGGGAACGCGTAGACCGAGTTCGGATTCGATGCGGGGGTAACTTCACGTTTAGTCAGGAAATGCTCGCAACGACCCTCGACGGAACCGACATTTTACTCGGGCGTGATTGGCTGCGACGACACAACCCGCGAATTGACTGGACGACGGGTGACTGCACCGTGCGAGTGAACGGTAACAACATCGCCTTACCTCGCTGGGGCTCGCCTGAGTCTTCGTCGGTGCGTGTCAACGCGATCACGATGAAACGCGCTGTTGCGGCCGGAGCCGACGTGTACGCGGTTGACATTCGGGAAGCCGAGGCAGCAGACAAGGGAGGCGATTTACAGAAACTGCTGACCGACGTACCGAGTGACCTGGCGGCACTGTTACAACAGTACAGTGACATTTTCCCGGATGACCTGCCGACGGGACTGCCACCTCAGCGACCGCACGATCACAGGATAGAACTAGAACCGGGGGCACAGCCAACAGTACAGCGACAGTTCCGACTGACCCAACCCGAATTAGACGAACTAAGGAAGCAGCTCGATTACCTGCTAGAAAAGGAATTCATTCGCCCTAGTTCGTCGCCTTTCGCCGCACCAATACTGTTCACACCGAAAAAGGACGGGGGTTTTCGCATGTGCATCGACTACAGGGCACTGAACAGGGTTACCATCAAATCCCGTTACCCCATCCCACGAGCCGACGAACTGATCGACCAACTGCGCACAGCCCGGGTTTTCTCGAAAATCGACCTCCGGGGAGGATACCACCAAATCCGCGTCAACCCACCCGACTGCCCTAAAACCGCATTCCGAACACGCTACGGATCCTTCGAATACACCGTCATGCCATTCGGACTGACCAACGCCCCCGCCACTTTCCAAATGACCATGAACGAAGCATTCCGCCCGCTTTTAGATAAGTGCGTCATCGTTTATCTGGACGACATACTGATTTACAGCCCTGACAGAGCACAGCACTTACAAGACATCGAAGCAGTTTTTAAAATCCTGAGTGAGAACCGCCTACTGACCAAAGCATCTAAGTGTGAGTTTTTACAGGACCGCCTGGAGTTTTTGGGACATGTTATTTCAGCTGCAGGAGTGGAAATAGACCCGAAGAAAATTGCGACGATTCAGGCTTGGCACGCGCCGACCAACTTGACCGAGTTGCAGAGTTTCCTGGGGTTCGTCAACTACGTGCGCCGGTTCGTCCCCGACATGGCGAAACTGACTGCCCCGTTGACTGACCTGCTGAGGAAGGGGGTTGAGTACACGTGGGGGGAGAAAGAGCAAGCTGCCTTCTCGGCCCTCAAAAATATTTTGTGCTCCCCGCCCGTCCTTCACATTGCAGATCCCCACCGTCCGTTCGAGCTCGTCACCGACGCAAGTGACATCGCTGTGGGAGCAGTACTGTTGCAGGATTTCGGGAATGGCCTCCAGCCAATCGCGTACGAGTCCCGCAAGTTACACCCGCCCGAACGTAACTACCCGATACACGACCGCGAGATGCTAGCGATCGTGCACGCGTTCAAAGTTTGGCGATGTTACCTGACTGGTGCCGACGTGACAGTACGGACAGACCACCGCTCGCTACAGTACCTTCGCGCCCAACCGAATCTCAACCCACGACAGATTCGCTGGTTGGACTATCTCGAGTCCAATTTTCACTACACCGTCACGTACAAAAAAGGAGCATCCAACATCGCCGACGCTCTCACCCGCCCCACCGCCCAACTCCACGCCATCCTACTCGCCCAGACCAACCCGCTTTTAACTGGCCTATTCACCCACGGATACCGCACCGACCCATTTTTCACGACCGGAAATTCACAGCAACTGGCAGAAGCAAAAGGAGTTTATTACGTAAAAACAGGCACCAACCGCATTTGGGTACCCGCGTACTCACTACTGAGGGAGCTGCTGCTGCAGGAGGCACACGACGGGATTACCTCGGGACATTTCGGGGTAGAAAAAACACGACAGCAACTGCAGCGGCACTATTACTGGCCGGAGCTGTTGACCGACGTACAGCAGCACGTGGGCTCGTGCCCGACGTGTCAGGTGATGAAGAGTTCAAGGAAGCGGAAGGCGGGTCAATTGCAGCCGATCCCACCGCCCGAACGCGCCTGGCAGCAAGTAACCATGGACTTCGTCACAGGGTTACCTTCGAACCCTGGGGGTAACGACGCGGTGATGGTCGTCGTGGATAGGTTGACGAAGATGGCACACTTCGCTGCGTGCAAAAAGTCGATCTCAGCCGAAGAGACCGCTCGCCTGTTCATCGCAGCCGTTGTTCGCCTGCACGGGATACCAGCAGCAATTATCAGCGACAGGGACACGAAGTTTACCAGCAACTTCTGGAAGAACCTCTGGGAGCAGTTCGGGACCAGGCTACAGTTCAGTTCGTCGTACCACCCCGAGACCGACGGCCAAACGGAGCGGACGAATCAGACGATGGAGCAGTTGATTCGTGCCACGTGCGACGACCCCACGACCTGGGAGCAGCAGCTGCCGCTGATCGAGTTCGCGTACAACAACGCCACATCAACCACGACGCAGCAGTCCCCGTTCTACCTGAACTATGGGCAGAACCCCACAGTGCCCATGACGCCGAGTCCGGACAACCCCACGCCACGCGCACAACAATTCGCCGAAATCCTGCAAGCTGCCCGCGCCAGAGCCGCCGAAGCAATAAAAAAGGCCAACGTCATCGCTAAGCGCAACGCTGATCGCCACCGCCGCCCCGTCACGTATCAATCTGGAGATTACGTGCTACTCGACACGCAAAATCTGCGACTGCCCGACGTACCAAAATTACGACCGCGCTACTGTGGACCATTCCAAATCAGTCACATGATCACACCCGTCACCGCGCACCTACTGTTGCCAATTGACTGGTACATCAGCCCTTCGTTCCACGTCAGCCTACTTCGCCAATACATCCCGACCACGAGTCAACTACCGCGTCACCGGCCACAATCAATGACTCGCCCTGCATCAGAGCCGATCATCGAGCCCGAGAAATTTTTGAGCCATCGGATCCGCCACCCCACGGGAATCAGGAGGATTGAATTCCTCGTTCGCTGGAAAGACCGCACGCCAACTGAAGATAGCTGGGTGCCCCTGAGCAACATCGAAAATCACCCTGCCCTGCAAGTGTACTTGAGAAGCCGGGGATTCCGGGATATACACGCACTCGCGTAGCGGAGGGGGCTTCTTAAGGGGGGGGGTAGTGTAAGGAATTTTCTCAGGCATTCCTTACGGAGCCGACTACATCGCGTACAGCAACAGCCGACTGTTCGCCCGTTACTGCTAACGGAACTTCGCCGACTTCGCGCGCACTGTTTTGCCAAACCTCGCACTGCTGGCATGGCCGTATCGGCCTACGCTTCGGGACTAGCCCGAGCCTCGCTCCAGCGTAGCACTAGCAAGTTCGCACGCACCGCGTTACCGTTTTGCATGTTTCGCGTATAAATGCTCGCTCATGCCTTCGCTCACATTTTGTACTCGTTTGACACCTTAGTGCAATTCTCGCTACCTCGATTCATTGCACCCGTAACAATCTGATTTAGATCCTGGGCTCATTAGTACGCATAGGCTGGATGCTCCTGATAGAATATGCCGGTAGCAGTACAAGGCAATTAACCCGGCGAGCATTGAGCAGCAAATTACCATCCCTAGTCAGAAACAAGAAAGGAATGCAAGTTTTAGTAGTCATCCTAATGCACTGCACTGCCACACTTGCGCTATATCCATCCATCGTACTTGACTGACACCACTGGCAAATCTGCCTGCAAGTCGTTCAAGAAGAGCAACCATCATCCTCTCCCTCAGAAACAGACAAAAGCATTGACCCCGCCTAACCACCCTCTACGGCTCGTAATTCAGCATCGGACCAAGCCACTTCTCAGCCTCGGCAACCGGCATGCCCTTCCTCTGCGCATAATCCCCAACCTGATCCGACAAAATCTTCCCAACTGCAAAATAATGACTCTTGGGCGCCGCAAAAATCAGGCCAGAAACCGAAGCAGCGGGCAGCATAGCCATGGATTCAGTGAGCTGAATCCCCGTCTCCTCCTCCACATCCATAAGCCTCCACATAACCGGCTTTTCAGTGTGATCCGGCTGGCTGGGGTAACCCGGGGCAGGTCGAATACCCTGGTATTTCACCTTCAGCAGCTCGTCTACACTCAGGTTCTCCTCCTTGGCGTACCCCCACACCTCCTTCCGAACGTCCCGGTGGAGAACCTCCGCCGCAGCTTCGGCGAGACGATCGGCGATAGCCTCGGCCATGATATAGCTGAAGTCATCGTTATCCTCCTTGAATTTCTTCACCATTTCCTCGAGTCCAAAACCGGAAGACACCACAAACATTCCGAGGTAATCCTTGATGCCCGTGGTTGCGGGGGCAATAAAGTCAGAAAGGGCGAGGTAAGGATCGTCGTTCTCCTCCTTCTCTGCTTGCTGTCGCAGCGTATGCATTGTCTCAACGACCGTGCTCCTCGACTCATCATTATAAAGCACAATGTCGTCGCCCACCGAATTTGCAGGGTAAATCCCGACAACGCCCCGCACGGTCAGCTTCTTGTTCTCCACAATGTCCCGCAGCATCGCCTGCGCATCGTCGAAAAGTTTCTTCGCCTCCTGCCCGACCGTCTCGTCGTTGAAAATCTTCGGGTAACCACGGTTGGGGTACCTGCCCCTCAGTTGCCACACCTGGAAGAACGGATTCCAATCAATGGCTGCCAACAGCTCCTCATTGATTGGATAATCCTTATAGACCTTCTTCCCCAGCAGGTTCGGGACCACAGGAAGGTTCTCCGGAAGCTTCCAGTCTATCTGGAACTTCATGTCCCGAGCCTTGTTAATAGGCACGTACTTCCGATCCTGCAGCCCAGCATAGTGCTCCTCCCGAAGCTCCGCGTACGTCTCCCGAACGTCCGTCACAAAGTCAGCCGTGGCCGTCGGATCAAGCAAGCTGGAAACCACCGGGACGCTGCGGGAAGCGTCCAAAACATGGACAGTAGGCCCACTGTACACCGGCTCAATCTTGACAGCTGTGTGCATGCGACTGGTCGTGGCTCCACCAATCAGCAGCGGGATCTTGAACCCTTCCCTCTCCAGCTCCTTCGCGACCGTCACCATCTCGTCCAGCGACGGGGTAATTAACCCCGACAAACCCACCACGTCGGCCTTATGCTCCCGGCACGCGTCCAGAATCTTCGCGCACGGCACCATCACACCGAGATCAACCACCTTGTAGTTGTTGCACCCGAGCACCACCGCAACGATGTTCTTCCCGATGTCGTGCACGTCTCCCTTGACGGTCGCGATGACGACGGTGCCGGCGTTGGCGGCTTGCTCCACCTCGGGGTTGGCGAGGCGCGCCTCCTCCTTCTCCTTTTCCATGAAGGGGATGAGATGCGCCACGGCCCGCTTCATCACACGCGCACTCTTGATCACCTGTGGGAGGAGAGAAGGGGAAGGGGTTGAGTCAGAGAGGGTTGATATCAGGGTTGGCGAGGTGGGCCTCCTCCTCCTCCTTTTCCATGAAGGGGATGAGATGCACCACGGCCCGCTTCATCACGCGCGCACTCTTGATCACCTGTGGGACGAAAAGGTTATGGAAGGTGGCAGTGATTGGGGTTTGGTGCGGGTCAGAGGGGGGTGGTACACCGGTTGGCGAGGCGGCCCTCTTCTTTCTCCTTCTCCATGAAGGGAATGAGATGGGCCACGGCATGCTTCATCACACGCGCGCTCTTGATCACCTGTGGGAGGAGAGAAGGGGAAGGGGTTGAGTCAGAGGGGGTTGGTATCAGGGTTGGCGAAGGCGGGCTTCCTCCTCCTCCTTCTCCTTCTCCATGAAGGGGATGAGGTGCGCCACGGCACGCTTCATCATGCGCGCGCTCTTGATCACCTGTGGGAGGAGTGAAGGGGAAGGGGTTGAGTCAGAGGGGGTTGGTATCAGGGTTGGCGAGGCGAGCCTCCTCCTTCTCCTTCTCCATGAACGGAATGAGATGCGCCACGGCCCGCTTCATCACACTTGCACTCTTGATCACCTGTGGGTAGGGAGTGGTGGGGGGGGGGGGGGGGGGTGTTGGGGGGACAGGGAGGATGGGGAGGATGGGGAGGTTGGAGAGGGTGGGGAGACTCATGAACGTTCAAGGCACCCATGAGCAGGGACCCCTCGAAGATGTGCAGGGGCCCCCTCGAAGATGTGCAGGGGCCCCCTCGAAGATGTGCAGGGGCCCCCTCGAAGATGTGCAGGGGCCCCCTCGAAGATGTGCAGGGGCCCCCTCGAAGATGTGCAGGGGCCCCCTCGAAGATGTGCAGGGGCCCCCTCGAAGATGTGCAGGGGCCCCCTCGAAGATGTGCAGGGGCCCCCTCGAAGATGTGCAGGGGCTGCACATACTGCCCACACGCCCTCACCGCCGTTCGTCCGTCCGTCCGTCCGTCCCTTCCCCCTCGTACCGTACCGTACCGTACCCCACACATTTCGGCAATCCAAAACATGAAAACGAACAGTTTCAAAAGGGAAAAGAGGGCTCACCTGCGGGAGGAACATCTTGCCGGCGCCGAACAGGTCTCCCACCACATTCATGCCATCCATGAGCGGCCCTTCGATAATATGCAGCGGCCGCACATACAGCCCACACGTCCGCGCCTCCTCCACATCCGCCACCACGTACTGGTCTATCCCCTTTACAAGCGAGTGCGCTAACCGCTTCTCCACCGACAGCTCCCTCCACGCGTCCTTCTCGGCCTTATCCCCGCCACCGCCCGCCTTCGGGTCCAGTCTCGCCGCCAACTCCAGCATCCTCTCGGTCGCATCTGGCCGTCGATTCAGCACGCAGTCTTCCACATGATCTAGCAGCTCCTTGGGAATATCATCGTAGATATCGATCTGCCCCGCGTTCACAATCCCCATATCCATCCCGGCTTTGATCGCGTGGTACAGGAAGACAGAGTGGAACGCGCGGCGCACGGGCTCGTTCCCGCGGAACGAGAACGAGATGTTAGACACGCCGCCTGAAATCTTCGCTCCCGGGCAAAGCTCCTTAATCCGGGTAGTCGCCCTAAAAAAATCGACCGCGTAGTTGGCGTGCTCCTCCAATCCCGTCGCGATCGTCAGAATATTCGGGTCGAAGATAATATCCTCGGGATTAAACCCAACCTCATCCACCAGAATATCATACGCCCTCTTGCAGATCCGCACTTTGTCCTCTTCTGTGGCGGCCTGCCCCTCCTCATCGAAGGCCATGACGACAACCGCCGCCCCGTGACGCTTGATGGTGTGTGCGTGGGCGCGGAAGGCCTGCTCGCCCTCCTTGAGGGAGATGGAGTTGACGATGCACTTGCCCTGCGAGCACTTGAGCCCCGCCTCCACCACGTGGAACTTGCTCGAGTCGATCATGAAGGGGACCTTGGCCACCTGTGAGTGGGGAGGAGGGGCAAGGGAGGCAGTGCAAGGCAAGGAACGAGAGCTCGTCGAAGGGCACACGGGCACTTGAGCCCCGCCTCCACCAGGTGGAACTTGCTCGAGTCTATCATGAAGGGGACCTTCGCCACCTGGAGTGAAGGGGAAGGGGAGGGGAGAGGAGGAAGTGCGAAGCAGGAAGTGAGAACACGTCAGGGTCATGGGCGCTTGAGCCCCGCCTCCACCACGTGAAACTTGCTCGAGTCTATCATGAAGGGGACCTTGGCCACCTGGGAGTGGAGAGAGAGTCAAGAGAGTGAATGCTATCACTTGCCATTCCCCTTCCCTTATCCTCTTCAACCACACTCGCCATGTCCCACTTGGCCTTCCCTTCCCCTCCATCCAGTTGCCCCCCCCCCTTGCCCCTACCCTTGGCCATTCCGTTGCCCCTTCCCTTGCCCCTTATGGAACTCACATCAGGCTCAGAGACGAGCAGGTTGACGAAGCGGGTCATGGCAGCAACCGAGTCCAGCAGCCCCTCATCAGAATTGATATCGATGATCTGTGCGCCCGCCCCTCTTTCCCCTATGCACCCCCCTGACTAGACTCACGTCAGGCTCAGAGACGAGCAGGTTGACGAAGCGAGTCATAGCAGCCACCGAGTCCAGCAGCCCCTCATCAAAGTTGATGTCGATGATCTGCGCGCCCGCCTCCACCTGAGCAATAGCAATGCTGAGCGCCTTGTCCCAGTTGCCCGCCATCACCGCCTTCTTGAATATGCTCGACCCCGCCACGTTGCACCGCTCGCCGATGTTTATAAAGGGGATGGTCTCCGGCGTGTAGTTGAAGGGCTCCAGCCCGCTCACTCGCATCAGGTTGCGCACTGACGGACGGGGACGGGGACGCACGCCCTCCACCTGCCAGGAAAATAAAGGTTCAGGGTTCAGGGGTCAAAAGAGTGTAAGGGGAAGGTCTCGGGCGTGTAGTTGAAGGGCTCCAGCCCGCTCACTCGCATCAGGTTGCGCACTGAGGGACGGGGGCGCGGGCGAACTCCCTCCACCTGCCAGGGTTCAGGGTTCAGGGTGGAGAATCAAAGGACGAGGGATGCTCCCCGGTTGACGGTTGAAGGTTCAGGGTTTTTAAGCCGCCCAGCAGTTCCCAGCCCCCACATCCCTGCACGGCACTCAATATCTTAGGTCGTATCTCCAGCAAGTGTCAAGAGGGGCTAGTGTCATGACACCAACTCGAAAACACATGGAGGACTATCCCTCCTGGTGTCAGCTAAACCAACCAATGAGATCCCGGGAAATCGTCCAATGTGCCCAACATTGACACCAGGCAGGAGCCGCGCTCACACGCGGCTCCACTTGGTGTCAACCGTAAACAACGCTTGACACCAAGCCTTTCTTGACACTTGCTGGAGATACGACCTTAGAGACAGCGTTGATGTGGTTGGGTTGGGTCGGGAGTGGTGTCGCAGCAGGCCCAACACAGTCACTAGCCCGCCCATGGCAAAGTCCCACTAGCAATCCCCCCATGGGGGCCCTGTAGGGGGATTGCTAGCCCGCCCACTAGCAATCCCCCTAGTGGTGTCGCAACAGCCCCCCCCGCATGCACCCCCTACAGGGCCCCCACATCCCTGCACTCACGATCTTAGAGACAGCGTTGATGTGATCAGGGGTGGTGCCGCAGCAGCCGCCATGCACGTTCACTAGCCCTCCCGTCACGACATCCCCCACGTTCTCCCCCACCCACTCCCACCTCTCAAACCTCCCATCTCTAAACACTCCCGCCTCCCCCCCTTCCCCACTCTCACCCCCTTCCCATCCCCACACCACCCCATTCTCACAGCACTCACGATCTTAGAGACAGCGTTGATTTGGTCTGGGGTGGTGCCGCAGCAGCCACCCAGCACGTTCAGCAGCCCGCCTGTGTCCAAGTCCCTCACGTCCCCCGTCTCACACAAGATGACTTTTGAGTCGACTCAAAAGCCGACCAGCACGTTCAGCAGCCCGCCAGTGTCCAAGTCCCTCACGTCCCCCGCCTCACACAAGCACTCCCCCCCCACATTTCCGCACGCACACGCCCCCTACAGGGCCCCCACATCTCCGCACTCACGATCTTAGAGACAGCGTTGATGTGGTCGGGGGTGGTGCCGCAGCAGCCGCCCAGCACGTTCACCAGCCCACCCGTCGCGAAGTCGCGCACGTTCTCCGCGAACTGCGCGGGCGTCTCGTCGTACCCGCCGAACGTGTTGGGCAGGCCCGCGTTCGGGTAGCAGATGACGAACGAGTCCGTGAGCTGGAGACGGGGAGAGGTGGGATTTGGGAGCAGGATAGCGGGAGCGGGGAGGGGGGCAAATGAGTGGGAGAGCGCAACTGTTGTGTGTGCTGCGCAGGCGTTTCGTTGTACCCGTCGAACGTGTTGGGCAGCCCCGCGTTCGGGTAGCAGATGACGAACGAGTCCGTGAGCTGGAAGCGGTGAGAGGGGACAGGGGACACGAAGGGAATTCGCGGGAAATCGAAGAATGCGGGTAAGGCGGGGAAAGGGGAGTGGGGGGAAGGGGGAAATGGGGGAATGGGGTAGTGGGGGTAAGCGGGGAGATGGGAGAATGGTACAGAAAACGGTGGGATGCGATGCGCCTACCTTGTTGATGGTGTCCACGTATGGACGCATGTCCCTCGCTGCATGTTCACACGACTCAAAGCACAGACTAAATGCGCCTCAAACCCGTATCGCCCGAATCGCGCCTACCTTGTTGATGGTGTCCACGTATGGACGCATGTCCCTCGCTCCCAGCGCGCAGTTCAGTCCAATCGCCATCGCCCGCGCGTGCGACACGCTGACCAAGAACGCCTCGCCCGTCTGCCCGCTCAGAGTCCGCCCGCTGTTGTCCACAATCGTACCGCTGATCATCACCGGCACATCGTACCCAACCTCCTCAAACACCAAATCCACCGCGTACAACGCCGCCTTGGCGTTCAGCGTGTCGAAGATCGTCTCCACGAGGAGGATATCCGCGCCGCCCTTGAGCAACGCGTGCACCTGCATCTTGTACGCGTCCACGATCTCGTCGAACGTGCATGCGCGAAACGCAGGGTTCTCCACGCTAGGCGACACGGACAGCGTCTTGTTCGTCGGGCCGATCGCGCCCGCCACGAATCGCGGGCGCGTCGGGTCCTTCTGCATCGATTTCGCTGTGGCGCGCAGCGCGACCTTCACCGCCTCGATGTTAATCAGCACCACCTCCTCCTCCGCCTGCAACTCATAATCCGCCTGGGAGATACACGTCCCATTGAACGTATTCGTCTCGATAATATCCGACCCCGCGTCCAAATACTCCGTATGAATCCCTTCGATAACATCGGGGCGCGTTATAACGAGGATATCGTTGTTGCCCTTGAGATCGTTAGAGTGATTAATCCAACGGTCACCGCGGAAATCCTCCTCACGGAGCTTGTGGCGCTGGATCATGGTACCCATGGCGCCGTCCAGCAGCAGGATGCGCTGCCGCATCATCGCCTCCAGCGACTCGAACAGATCGCGCCGCACCATCGCCACGTTCTTGCTGCCGTCCTCGTTAGTGGGCGACTCGGGATCGACACGAGACTCGCCGTCCACAATGAAGCTGAGATTCAAGGGAGTGGGTATGCGGTAAGGGGGTTGCGGCAGTGGTGAGCGAAAGTGACGAGCGTATAGGGTAGCTTCGTATCAGTGACAGTGCTATTCTTTTAGATCACTTACCAACCAGATTCCCAACAAGTATGGTTAGCTGCATTCCCAACAAATATGTATCATATCGGTCACTGAGGGAAAACACAGCCGATCCGGACTAGCTGCGTCCGGATTTTCAGCACCATACGCACCTGCATTCGATCGTTCCCTGGGGGCACGTGTGATTGATGTAGAACTGCCCGGGTCAGAACCGGACGGATCCATCCGGCACGAAATCACTTCTGATTCGACAGATAAACGCACCTGTATTCGATCGGTCCCTGCGGGCACGTGTAATCGATGTAGAACTGGCCCGGGTTGGCAGAGGACGGCTTCATCGCAACCGGCACGCCGGCGGAGAAATCCCCCACCACCTCCACCTTGGACCCTCCATACGGCCAGATGAACTGCGTGATCCCCAGCTCTGCACGCACAACGCGCGGACAACACTGCCATGTTACTGAATCCTTTGAAGGTAATAGTAATGTAACGTGCAAGTAGGATTGATTATTGTAGTTGATCGCGTGAGCAGTAACGAGTGACTGATGCGGCAGGAGGCGGATTCTACGCACGTTCTGGTCTCACAGACGACGGTGCGACGTGCGCGCAGGTTCGGACCTGCTTAACCACTTACTGTCTTCCGCCTTGGGAGGGGGACGACGCCCGGCGGCCAGCGGGATGACTCCTCCTAGTTAAGAAAGACGCAGATGGAATAAGGGACACCGGAATAAGACGCACTCGTAATAACGACGCAATTGAAATAAGATCAAAGCGTTTTAAGAAAGCATCCAGAATAAGGGTTTGGTAAGAACGATTGTCCGTGTACTTTCTGGCAAAATACTGAACCATAGCACTGAAATCTTTGTTATTTCGTAAGTGAATGAACGTAGACCAATTATATTCTGAATTCACCTCTTTCCAAAAGCAAATTGTTTAACGTCGGCCTTACCTGCAGCAGCAGTCTTGGGAGCGGAAGGCACAACGGGAGGAGCAGCAACAGCGGCGGCGGCGGCGGCGGCAGGTTTCTCCTGCTTAATTGTGGCAACGGACGGCTCCGCAGCAATGCGTTTCTCAGGCGTTGCTGCGGTGGAGACGGTCGACGACTCATCGCTCTTCCTCGTAGAGAAAAACGCGAAAAGAGCTCCGAAAAGGGCTGCGATCACGATGACTACCGCGGAATGCGCAATCGCACGCCAGGCCACTGCTACCACGAGGATGGCTACCGGCGCTACAGACTGACGCGCTATGCGACTGAAGTCCATGGTTGGAAACTGCAACTCGACCCAGCAGGGTCACGACGCGGCAAGTGCGGAAAGCAGCCAGCCTAACCACCAAGCAGCGAGATTCCGCTCAAGAAGACGACAATTCCCAAGGTTTTGGGACAAAAACCAGCAAGAGCTAGCTCAAATCTGACAGTAATACTGAAGAGGAAGAAACCTTGGTTTTCCTGGTTGTCAAGATCAGACTGAGAAGTGTAGCAACAGTAAGGTGAGGAGGAAAAGGAGATGAGGAGGAAGAGGGGGAAAGCTCGAAGTCGGCTTCGGCGAAGAGAGCTGCGAATTCTTCACGACGTTCGTCCAACTCTGAATCTCGAGACACGGGGACTGTCGCGACAACGACAAAAACTTGGCGAGTTTTGCGAATCCCGAGGCTCGGCAACGTTTGGGGGAGTGTCACAGTCTTCTCCCAAGGTGCTCTCCCGCTCTCCTGTAGTCGTGGGATGAACGAGCACGTTCCACGTGGCGATAGGCTTTTGACGATGTGTCAGAGGTCACTGGGACTGATGCGGCCAACTTCATTGATACTCAAATTATGCCAGAAATGTTTTGCATACGTAATCAATCAACGATTTCGCAGTATAGTAACTACAGATACTAATTTACGGTATAATAAGCACAGCCCTGAAACAATGTCGCCACCAGCAGCTCCGCACATACCCAACAAAAAAGGAAACATACAAAAACGCTTGGATAACCAGGATGAAATTTGGAAATATTAACCCTAAAGTGAGGGTTTATAAGGGTTTAGGGCATGTGACAGGAAGTCCTCAAGTGCTTATGATTATCTGCTTGGACAAACGATACCGCCCAACGGAGCTTGCTACCCGTGGGCAATTAAAAATTTCCCTCCTGCTAAAATTCATCAATTCAGAATGGCATTAATCCTAAAAACCTTGATGCGTGATGTTTAGAATTGATGCCATCCAATGGGGTTTTGTTTTTTGTACGAGGTCAGCAGGTTCACGGTCGACGGAGGAATAATGGTGCCGTCAACCCTAATTCGTTGATTTATTTCAAGTATGCATCGTTTTTTCCCAATGGGGATTTTTTTGATCTCACGAAATTTGTGCATGATACAAATTTCAATGGGTTGAGTATTCAATTATTTTTCTTGTCTATTCTTATGTAGCACCTTGACAGAATAGTGTATATTTGAGTTCGGTAATTGCGTTCTGTTTCTGTCCCATTTCGGGGGTGTTATTACGTACAAAGTGTGATTGAAAAGCGAGCACCAATCAGTGATGAGAAACCGAGGTTGAGTACCGATGCAATACGTCTCTGGCATAATTTGAGTATCAATGAAGTTGGCTGGGGACTGGTGCCTCCGATCCCTCCTGTCATGAGACATGCTGACGCGGCTCGGCAGAATTGCTTCGCATGAACCATGGATTGTACTGTACATGTCAGTTTCAACTCACTAGAAAGATGCAGATTTACTGTGACCATATCGAGGAATGAGCATGACACACACATGCAATTTATGAAGTAAAATATAAATGTGATTATCAGAACCACAAAGCAAGGCCTACATCGCGCATTATCAGGCTCGTATCACACAAGTAACCGCACAACCCAGTCTCCGCCGCAGCCATGGCGTCGATAATCTCCTCCGCCGTGCTTCCCGCCGCCGTCTCCGCGCCCGTCCTGCCACCTCTGCGGAAAATTCGCGCGAATGGCGCCAGTTTCGCCGCGTCCCTGAGGTCGCGGGGTCCGCGTCCCCTCGGCAGCACGTTTCAGGTCCGAGTTCTGGCGCATTCCGCCAGCACTGGCAGAAACTGCGAAGTTATATCCGGGGATGCAACGCACGCCTAGGTTTCTTCTTACGTCGGCGCACATTTCATTCGTTTCTCCCCGTCCCTCCCCCGTTTCCACAATTTCCACCGTTTTCCGCAATTTCCGCCATTGCTGCCGTCTCCGATCATTTCCGTCATTCCCCATTCGCGCCCCCGTTTCCCGTCCGCTACCCCGTCCGTGGTTCTCAGGGCACGCCCTTTCAGGGCGCTAAGATTCGCGCGCAGCGTCACTACGCGGCGCCCGCAGCGGGAGGCGCGGCGGTGGTGGCGGCCGCGTCGCCCAAGGGGACGGGGAAGGGCACGGTGGTGATTGAACCCGATCCGCGCATCCCCATCGTGCTGCTCGGTGCGTCTCGTATCATGTCATGCCATACCTTCAAGTCGATTTGCTTGGTGTCTGTTGTGCCGTGCTCTCTGTTTTGGTATAACCCTCTAAACGGGAAGGCCACGGTGGTGGTTAAACCCGATCCGCGCATCCCCATCGTGCTGCTCGCTGCGTTCCATGCCGTGTCCTGTCATCATCCCTTTACGTCGAGTTGCTTGGTGCCTGTCATGCCGTGCTGTCTGTTTTCGAGTCAAAACGGGAACGCCACGGTGGTGGTTGAACCCGATCCCCATCATGCTGCTCGCTGCGTGCCTATGCCATGCTGTCGTGTCTTTCATGTCCGTTTCTGCAATTCTTAGTCCTTAATCTCCGTGCCTTTCATCCCTACAACCACACCCCCCTCCACCTGTTCCCCTTTCCCCCCTTCCCCCATGTCCCATCAGGTGTCTCAGGAGCTCTCTTCCTGGCAGACAACAAGCTCGCAGCTGCTCCCATTGGCCTGCTCGGAGCACTGCTCGCCTTCCAGGTGCCTTTTCTCTGCCTCAGGTGGTCTTCAGGTGGTTGTCAGGTGGTCTTCAGGTGGTCTTCAGGTGGTCTTCAGGTGCGTTTCTCACATCTTGTCGTCTTATACTTCTTGGTCCTTATGTTGACTCCTTCCTGCTGCCACTATGGTTCCGTGGCTTTCCCAGTCGACCCACAGTGGGTCATGCTGCCCACAGTGGGGTGGCTTTGGCTGCAATTAACCCATGTCACGTGAAAGAAGGAGTGTTTTGAGACGTCTCAAAACAATTAACCCATGTCACGTGAAAGAAGGAGTGTTTTGAGACGTCTCAAAACAATTAACCCATGTCACGTGAAAGAAGGAGTGTTTTGAGACGTCTCAAAACAATTAACCCATGTCACGTGAAAGAAGGAGTGTTTTGAGACGTCTCAAAACAATTAACCCATGTCACGTGAAAGAAGGAGTGTTTTGAGACGTCTCAAAACAATTAACCCATGTCACGTGAAAGAAGGAGTGTTTTGAGACGTCTCAAAACAATTAACCCATGTCACCTGAAAGAAGGAGTGTTTTGAGACGTCTCAAAACAATTAACCCATGTCACGTGAAAGAAGGAGTGTTTTGAGACGTCTCAAAACAATTAACCCATGTCACGTGAAAGAAGGAGTGTTTTGAGACGTCTCAAAACAATTAACCCATGTCACGTGAAAGAAGGAGTGTTTTGAGACGTCTCAAAACAATTAACCCATGTCACGTGAAAGAAGGAGTGTTTTGAGACGTCTCAAAGCAATTAACCCATGTCACGTGAAAGAAGGAGTGTTTTGAGACGTCTCAAAACAATTAACCCATGTCACGTGAAAGAAGGAGTGTTTTGAGACGTCTCAAAACAATTAACCCATGTCACGTGAAAGAAGGAGTGTTTTGAGACGTCTCAAAACAATTAACCCCATGTCACGTGAAAGAAGGAGTGTTTTGAGACGTCTCAAAACAATTAACCCATGTCACGTGAAAGAAGGAGTGTTTTGAGACGTCTCAAAACAATTAACCCATGTCACGTGAAAGAAGGAGTGTTTTGAGACGTCTCAAAACAATTAACCCATGTCACGTGAAAAAAGGAGTGTTTTGAGACGTCTCAAAGCAATTAACCCATGTCACGTGAAAGAAGGAGTGTTTTGAGACGTCTCAAAGCAATTAACCCATGTCACGTGAAAGAAGGAGTGTTTTGAGACGTCTCAAAACATTTAACCCATGTCACGTGAAAGAAGGAGTGTTTTGAGACGTCTCAAAACAATTAACCCATGTCACGTGAAAGAAGGAGTGTTTTGAGACGTCTCAAAACAATTAACCCATGTCACGTGAAAGAAGGAGTGTTTTGAGACGTCTCAAAACAATTAACCCATGTCACGTGAAAGAAGGAGTGTTTTGAGACGTCTCAAAGCAATTAACCCATGTCACGTGAAAGAAGGAGTGTTTTGAGACGTCTCAAAACAATTAACCCATGTCACGTGAAAGAAGGAGTGTTTTGAGACGTCTCAAAGCAATTAACCCATGTCACGTGAAAGAAGGAGTGTTTTGAGACGTCTCAAAACAATTAACCCATGTCACGTGAAAGAAGGAGTGTTTTGAGACGTCTCAAAACAATTAACCCATGTCACGTGAAAGAAGGAGTGTTTTGAGACGTCTCAAAACAATTAACCCATGTCACGTGAAAGAAGGAGTGTTTTGAGACGTCTCAAAACAATTAACCCATGTCACGTGAAAGAAGGAGTGTTTTGAGACGTCTCAAAGCAATTAACCCATGTCACGTGAAAGAAGGAGTGTTTTGAGACGTCTCAAAACATTTAACCCATGTCACGTGAAAGAAGGAGTGTTTTGAGACGTCTCAAAACAATTAACCCATGTCACGTGAAAGAAGGAGTGTTTTGAGACGTCTCAAAACAATTAACCCATGTCACGTGAAAGAAGGAGTGTTTTGAGACGTCTCAAAACAATTAACCCATGTCACGTGAAAGAAGGAGTGTTTTGAGACGTCTCAAAGCAATTAACCCATGTCACGTGAAAGAAGGAGTGTTTTGAGACGTCTCAAAACAATTAACCCATGTCACGTGAAAGGAGTGTTTTGAGACGTCTCAAAACAATTAACCCATGTCACGTGAAAGAAGGAGTGTTTTGAGACGTCTCAAAACAATTAACCCATGTCACGTGAAAGAAGGAGTGTTTTGAGACGTCTCAAAACAATTAACCCATGTCACGTGAAAGAAGGAGTGTTTTGAGACGTCTCAAAACAATTAACCCATGTCACGTGAAAGAAGGAGTGTTTTGAGACGTCTCAAAACAATTAACCCATGTCACGTGAAAGAAGGAGTGTTTTGAGACGTCTCAAAACAATTAACCCATGTCACGTGAAAGAAGGAGTGTTTTGAGACGTCTCAAAACAATTAACCCATGTCACGTGAAAGAAGGAGTGTTTTGAGACGTCTCAAAACAATTAACCCATGTCACGTGAAAGAAGGAGTGTTTTGAGACGTCTCAAAACAATTAACCCATGTCACGTGAAAGAAGGAGTGTTTTGAGACGTCTCAAAACAATTAACCCATGTCACCTGAAAGAAGGAGTGTTTTGAGACGTCTCAAAACAATTAACCCATGTCACGTGAAAGAAGGAGTGTTTTGAGACGTCTCAAAACAATTAACCCATGTCACGTGAAAGAAGGAGTGTTTTGAGACGTCTCAAAACAATTAACCCATGTCACGTGAAAGAAGGAGTGTTTTGAGACGTCTCAAAACAATTAACCCATGTCACGTGAAAGAAGGAGTGTTTTGAGACGTCTCAAAGCAATTAACCCATGTCACGTGAAAGAAGGAGTGTTTTGAGACGTCTCAAAACAATTAACCCATGTCACGTGAAAGAAGGAGTGTTTTGAGACGTCTCAAAACAATTAACCCATGTCACGTGAAAGAAGGAGTGTTTTGAGACGTCTCAAAACAATTAACCCATGTCACGTGAAAGAAGGAGTGTTTTGAGACGTCTCAAAGCAATTAACCCATGTCACGTGAAAGAAGGAGTGTTTTGAGACGTCTCAAAGCAATTAACCCATGTCACATGAAAGAAGGAGTGTTTTGAGACGTCTCAAAGCAATTAACCCATGTCACGTGAAAGAAGGAGTGTTTTGAGACGTCTCAAAGCAATTAACCCATGTCACGTGAAAGAAGGAGTGTTTTGAGACGTCTCAAAACATTTAACCCATGTCACGTGAAAGAAGGAGTGTTTTGAGACGTCTCAAAGCAATTAACCCATGTCATCCAAAGCCTCCCAATTCCCGATCCCTTTCCCCATTCACAACCCCCCACCCACCGCAGACCACGCGCGTGCGCTTTGTGTTCGGGGAGGAGGCACTGGAGGTGCGCATAGGGCAGCATGAAAGCATGTAATGGCATGACAAATGCACCTCCCCTACCACCCCCCCCCCCCTCTCTCCCATCCCCCGCCCCTCCTTCTCAGACCACGCGGGTGCGCTTTGTGTTTGGGGAGGAGGCACTGGAGGTGCGCATAGGGCAGCAGCTCGAGTCGTCGGGGGAGAACGTGTTTGTGGGCGGCGAGAACAAGTGGAGGTGAGAACAAGTGAACGCGGAACATGGCACGCTGTGAATGCGGAACATGGCACGCTGTGAATGCGGAACATGGCACGCTGTGAATGCGGAACATGGCACGCTGTGAACGCGGAACATGGCACGCTGTGAAGTGAAATTTCGAGGTCTTTTTGGTCCCTTCCTCCCGTCCCTTCTACCCCTCCCTGTTCTTTCCATCTCACCAGGTACGACACATTCGTCAACTGGTGCTTTTGAGTCGACTCAAAAGTCACCCCTCCCTGTTCTCTCCATCTCACCCTGTCCCCTCCCTGTACGACACATTCGTCAACTGGTGACCAGCCTTCCCCGTGCTGGTTCACTTCAAGGAGACCCACATCCGCCTCCCTTTGTCCCCCTCCTCTTCCTCCCCTCCTCTTCTTCCCCTGAACTTCTTCCCCTTCCCTTCTCTCCGTCACACCAGGTACGACACGTTTGTCAACTGGGAGTTCTGGTGGCCGTCTTTCCCCGTGCTGCTGCCATCTTTTGACTTCACTTACAGCATTCCCCGTGCTGCTGCCATCTTTTGACTTCACTTACAGCATTCCCCGTGCTGCTGCCATCTTTTGACTTCACTTACAGCATTCCCCGTGCTGCTGCCATCTTTTGACTTCACTTACAGCATTCCCCGTGCTGCTGCCATCTTTTGACTTCACTTACAGCATTCCCCGTGCTGCTGCCATCTTTTGACTTCACTTACAGCATTCCCCGTGCTGCTGCCATCTTTTGACTTCACTTACAGCATTCCCCGTGCTGCTGCCATCTTTTGACTTCACTTACAGCATTCCCCGTGCTGCTGCCATCTTTTGACTTCACTTACAGCATTCCCCTTCTCCCCCTCTCCTTCCCTCCGTCACACCAGGTACGACACGTTTGTCAACTGGGAGTTCTGGTGGGCGTCTTTCCCTGTGCTGGTCTATTTCAAGGAGACCCAGACTCGCCCCGAGGGGCAGGTGCACTTCTTCCCCATCATCGCGGTACGTGGTTAGGTTAGCCCATCAGTGCTATGTCTGTGTGCATTTGTGTTTGAGTGTGCATGCTGTCTCTGTCCTGCACTCCTCGTCTATTTCAAGGAGGCAGGTGCACTTCTGTCCCATCATCGCGGTACGTGGTTAGGTTAGCTCATCAGTGCTGCTGCTGTTGGTGCAGCTCTGCTGGATATGTGTGTATGTGGTTCGTGTGAGTCGACTCAAAAGTCGGTTCTTGCTGTGCTGTAATCGTTTCAAGGAGACCCAGACTCGCCCGGAGGGTTTCATGTTCAGTTCTTCCCCACATCGAGGTACATGGTCCTAAAACAACACGAGTTGATGGAAGTAACAGCGCATGTTCAGCGCATGTTCAGCGCATGTTCAGCGCATGTTCAGCGCATGTTCAGCGCATGTTCAGCACATGTTCAGCGCATGTTCAGCGCGTGTTCAGTTCTTCCCCATCATCGCGGTGCGTGATTAGCTCATCGGTGCTGCTGCTACTGCGTGAAAGAAGAGTGTTTTTGAGACGTCTCAAGAACACTCTTCCCCATCATCGCGGTGCGTGGTTAGCTCATTTTGGTGCTGCTGCTACTGCGGATGATTTCTGGACGAGTGTACATGTGTGTGAGTGCACATGTCTGGTCATGCACTCCTCTTTTGTTGTTCCCCTTTGCAGTACGATGACATGTGGTGTACCCCTTTGCGCCCTCTCCCTGGAAGAATGGCAAGCAGCGGTACGATGTGATGGTGGAGCGCTGCGGTGCCTACGAGAACACATGCCCGGACGGGGTTGATACGGGGTTGATACGGGGTTGATAGGGTGATAGGGGGTTGATAGGGTGATAGGATGCCCTCACACACCCTATCAACCCAGTCCTTGATGCTGCAGGGTGTTTTTGAGAATTCTCAAAAACACATACTCTCACACACCCCATCAACCCCATCCTCCCCCTCGTCCACATTCTCCCCCCTTCCCCGCTCCCCTGCACCCCCGCACCCCTCCCCATCTACTGCAGAACGGCATGCAGCGGTACGATGTGATGGAGCAGCGCTGCGGTCTCTTGAAAGCCCTCGCCCACCCCCATCACCCTCCCCTCCCCCCTCCTCTTCTCGTCCTCTTCCATTCCCTCCTCCCCTTCCCCATCTACCGCAGAACGGCAAGCAGCTGTATGATGTGATGGTGGAGCGCTGTGGCCCCTCATGGCACATCATGACCACACGCGTTCCATCATTCCCACCCTCCCCCTCTCACCCCCTCCCATCCTCCCCCTCCCATCCACCGCAGAACGGCAAGCAGCTGTATGATGTGATGGTGGAGCGCTGTGGCCCCTCATGGCACATGCTCATCGCACATTCTATCAACCCCCCCTCCTCCACCCCCCGTGCACTTTCCCCCCATCCCCTTTTCAGAACGGCAAGCAGCTGTATGATGCGATGGTGGAGCGCTGTGGCCCCTCCAAGGGCAGTGGGCCGTCTGCTTGATTGATACCCGGTTACCGTACCATGTTTGGTTTGTGGGTGGTTATCATGTCAACATTAACTATTGTTCTGTATTAATCCTCCCTGGCACATACTCTATGGTTGAGTGTACTGTACTGTAACTACTGTTTTTCCTGTCACCATAAAGCTATCCGACCATTTCCACTGGCATCGTACCTCAATGTCAATTCACATCCTATAATGAGAATTGGCACATTGTAACAATAATAACAGCCTGCAGCTTCAAGCATCTTCAGCAGCCAACATTACGGTACATAACTTATTGATAAGAGCTCCTTGCAATAACAACCCAGAAATCCCAACATTGGCCTATAGATAGCAATGTGTGGCCAGCTCCAGCCTAAGCTGTGCCTGTTGTTGCTGACTGTGCTGCTGCTGCTGGCGGTGGTGATGCTGATGGTGCTGGTGGTACCACTGGTAATGGTGGGGGGAAGTCGGTCAAGTTTTGAAGCACAGAGAGGGTCTGAACAGCATCAGACATGAGGGGTCTTTCCTTGGGGTCTTTTTTCAGGCAGTTATAGGCCAGTCTGGCCGCCTTGACCACCCCTTTCACCGAGAACTGGTTCTCCAGCCGTTGATCGACGATCTTCACGAGCATCCGACGGTCGGCAAAGAACGGCGCCGACCACTCCACGATGTTCTGCTGCCCGGGCGGAAAGTTTCGCTCGACTGCCCGCCGCCCGGAGATGATCTCTAGAAGGACAACACCGAAGCTGTAGACATCAGATTTGGCAGTCAGATGGCCTGAGGAGTGGTGGGAGTGATGGAGGGGGGGGAAGTGCGGGTAAGGGGAAGGGGGTAAAAAGGGGTTTCTGAGGCACCTCTGGGAGGACAACGCCGAAGCTGTAGACGTCAGATTTGGCAGTCAGATGGCCGCCAAATGGCGGTGAGATGGCCTGGGGTGATGGCGGAAGCGTGGGAGAAAAAGTCCAAGAGGGGAAAGGGGTGGAGGGGAGAGGCAGAGCGAAGGTGTGGCGGAGGGGTGGGGAAGCAGTCGAGTGAGGGAATGGTAGGTTCAAAAGTGGCAAATAGCCTGGTAATCAATCACTGCAAGTTTGACAGATGGGCTGACGAAGGGAAGGGGAGCGGGTGAGGAAAGGGAGAGAAGGTAGGTGGGAAGAAGAGGATGGCTTGGCTGGCGTGGCGGTAAAAAGCTGGTGTGAGGTAAACATCTGGTGTGAGGTAAAAATCTGGTGTGAGGTTAACATCTGGTGTGAGGTAAAAATCTGGTGTGAGGTAAACATCTGGTGTGAGGTAAACATCTGGTGTGAGGTAAAAATCGTACGATCAAACCCAATGATGCCTAAATTGATTGGGAGCAGCATATGTGTACGTGCCCATGACCCATGTCAACACAGGTGTGTCATTCCCCTCTGAAATTATGAATCAGATCAACCTGTGAGCATGTATTCGGGAGCAGCATAGCCGTATGTGCCCATGACCCGTGTGGACACATGTGTATCGCTGCCCACTGGCCCATCCTTAGCCAGCCCAAAGTCTGATAGCTTTGCATTAAACTCCTGATGAGGGGGAATTGGAGGGGGAGTGGAGAAGAGGAGGGGGGAGGAGGGGGGTGGAGCGGGGAAACAGGGGGGTAGAGAGGGGAAAGGGGCGAGAAAGGGGGAATGAAAGACTGGAGGAAGGAATGGGAGAGGGGAGAGAGAGACTGCAAGAGCGCTCAGAGAGTCAGCAATAGCTCTCACCTGTTGACGATAACATTTGAAACCTTGAAGCAGCAGGAGTTGACCGCAGCCAACAAAGCAGGCCACGCCAAGAGCACTCACTCACCCTATCCACGAGAATGTTGGATGTCTTGAAACTTTGAACGCATGCTGACAAACTAAGGCTTGAAATCAAACAAGATCTGATCCGGAAGGCGGTTGCTGGAGCTGGAGGCTCACGGTAAATGACCTGGAGCTTCCAGCAACAGCAGAACAGCAACGGCACAGCAGCAACGGCACAACAGCAGCAGCACTCACTTACCCTGTCGACGAGAATGTTAGACGCCTTGAAATCTCTGTAGATGACCTGCGCCTCCGTCTCCTCATGCAGGTAGGCGAGTCCTCTAGCAGCATGCAGAGCGACCTTCATACGGATGTTCCAGGGGAGAGGGGTCACGTTGCCTGCGAGGGGTGGTGGTTGTATGGGGGGGGGGAAGGGAAGGGACAGAGGGGCAAACACGATCCATTGGCTCTTTCTGGCAGCATGCAGAGCGACCTTCATACGGATGTTCCCGGGGAGACGGGTGACGTTCCCTGTGAGGGGTGGTGGATGTACGGGGGGACAGCGGGGGAGGAGAGGGGCGTATACATGAGCCTTCGTATGTCAGCTTCTTTTCTTTTCTTTTCTTTTTTTTAGCAGTCATCAGCCACACGCAATGGATTCAGTCACACACACGCCCCTCCTTGCAGTCACACACACGCCCCACCTTGCAGTCACACACACACATGCCCCTCCTTCCAGTCACGCACAGTATGCAGTCACACACAGTATCCACTCACACACTGCCAAGTGCCTCTCGTACAGGCACACGCCCATACGTGTCGAAAGAGGTATCTCTCAAGGCTGCCATACTCCATCAACTCAGACGCCAGCAGCCGGTGCTCGCCCTCCCCTCCATGCAGTCACATACTGTCCTATAGCCCCATACAGTCACATGCTGTATGAACCACTCACAGCGGAAGAGGTATCTCTAAAGGCTGCCATACTCCATCAACTCAGCTCGTATGCCAGCAGGCGATGCTCCCCCTCCATGCAGTACCCCACCCACCCCCGCATCATATACTGCCACGTGCCCCATACAGTCACATACTGCCTCCTCATACAGTCACATACTGCCTCCTCATACAGTCACATACTGCCCCCTCATACACGCACATACTCCATGAGCTATCAGACTCACGGCGGAAGAGGTATCTTTCCAAGCTGCCATACTCCATGAGCTCGTATGCCAGCAGGCGATGCTCCCCCTCCATGCAGTACCCCACCAGCCGCACCAGGTTCGGATGCCCCAACGCTCCTAGATACCTCACTTCGGTCTGGAGGGGTGGGAAACGGTGGAGAGGAGGTTAGGGCAATAAGCTATCAGGTGCTCGCCCTCCATGCAGTACCCCACCAGCCGAACCAGGTTCAGATGCCCCAACGCTCTTTGATACCTCACTTCGGTCTGGAGGGGTGGGAAACGGTGGAGAGGAGGTTAGGGCAATAAGCTATCAGGTGCTCGCCCTCCATGCAGTACCCCACCAGCCGCACCAGGTTCAGATGCCCCAACGCTCCTAGGTACCTCACTTCGGTCTGCGAGAAAACATGGAGGGAGGGGAGAGAGGAGGCGTATACTCAGTCAATTCACCTCCATATTGCAGCCGGTGCTCCCCGTCCATGCAGTACCCCACCAGCCGCACCAGGTTCGGATGCCGCAGTGCTCCTAGGTACGGTACCTCACTTCGGTCTGCACAGAAGGGAGAGGGGAGGGGAGAGGGAAGGCACACAGAATAGCTTCACCCCCCTCCATGCAGTACCCCACCAGCCGCACCGCCAGTCCTCCTAGGTACCTCACTTCGGTCTGAAGGCATGGGATGAGAGGATGGGAGGACGGAGAGGAGATTAGAGCATCGGGTTACCAGAGGCCCCCTCCATGCAGTGCCCCACCAGCCGCACCAGATTTGGATGGCCCAGCGCTCCTAGGTACCTCACTTCGGTCTGCGGGGATGGGAGAGGGGATGGGAGGATGGAGAGGCCTTTAGAGCGACGGGTTACCAGGGGGCCCCTCCTTGCAGTGCCCCACCAGCTGCACCAGGTTCGGGTGCCCCAGTGCCCCTAGGTACCTCACTTCGGTCTAAGGGGGTGGAACATGAGGAAAGGGAACGAAGAGAGGAGGGAAAGAGGGGATGCGAGGAGGATACAGAATCACGTCATCCCCCTCAGCGCAAGTACCCAATCAGCAAGCGCCTTCCCAACAACTTCCTCCATCCTCTAATCATGCAGTATTTCACAGTCAAAAGCCATTCCCAACACCCACCTCACAGTTCAAAACCCACTCCCATCCCACTCCACCGCACACTCACCACCCACTCCGCCTCGCCCTGGTAACCCTCCTGGTTCAGCGCCTTCACAGCAACTTCCTCCATCCTCCCCCCACCAACATGCACTTTCCCCTTGTGCACGCTCCCGAATCCTCCCTCCCCCAGCTTGCCCTCCCTGCTGAACCCGTTAGTAGCCTCGAACAACTCGTTATAAGAGAATTGAAGCAGAGTGGCGGCTATCTGGACGCTCCCAGGCGTCCCTCCCTGGCTGCCGAAGCTCGCAGTCTGGCTCGGGCCGACGCTGGAAGTATGGCTGAGGCTCGGACTCGGTCCTTGGCTAGACTCCTGCTGCGGGACCGCTTCCTGCTGCGGCTGCTGATGTGGCGGCTGCTGATATTGAGGCTGCTGATGTGGTGGTGGCTGATGTGGCGGCTGCTGATATTGTGCCTGCTGATGTGACACCTGCTGATATGGAGACTGCTGATGCGACGGCTGCTGATGTGGCGCCTGTTGATGCGGCACCTGCTGATATGGCGACTGCTGATGCGACGGCTGGTGGTGCGGCGGCTGCTGTTGTGGCGACAGCTGAAATGCGGGTGGCTGAAGTGGCGACAGACGGGGTGATCGGGAGCCATTACGTGGCACACCACCAGGCTCCGCGCTCTGCTGCTCACTGGCTGCCCCGCTATTAACTGCCCCGCTACCAGCTAGCACTGTCCCATTACCGAGCCCTTCCGCATCGGAACCCCTTTGGTCGGCACCCACGCCCGCGCTACCCGCCGGCTTGAGACCTAAAATAACGTCCACGGGAGCTACAGTGTATTCGTGCGCTGCTTCGGACTCTCCGCCGCCCAGCGAAGAGCCTCGGGATCTCCGTGCCGCCCTACCAGCACGAGGGGAGCCTTTTGGGGCTGGCGCATCGATACAGAGGAGAGTATCGATACAGGGGTAGGATGGGGCAAAAAGGAGGGACGAGTAAGTGTGAGTTTATCAACGCTGTAGTGCACTCGTCAAATTTTTAAGTGCTTGGGGACTAAGATTTTGGTCATACGTCGTACTTCATTCGTACTCAACTTCTGCTTGACAAAAGAAAGGAAGGAAGAAAGAAAAAAAACACAGAAACTCACACGCGGACGTACTTCTACCGTCAACGCTTTTCACTCTGAAGCACTCCACTATGTTACTGAATTGTCCAATATGGAAAAGCCATACAATGACTGCCACGTCGTCGTCTCCAACGTACCGGGAGAGCGAGGCTTTTTACTTTGCCGCGGTGACAGAGGCTCTTCGTGTATGGAGAAACATGCCCCCATCCTGATTCCTTTGCATGAGCTGCAGTTATTTCACGTATACATAACGGTCTCCGGCCATTATTGAATCAAGGCTTAATTGCTTGGATTTTCTCGAGTAATTCCGAAAAAAAAACTCCGGAATCTAAGCCTGCTCGCTTGAAACGGTGAGTTTCGAGTTGATTAGGAGATAAACACTCTAAAGCCTAGGGCTGCTCACACGCGGCGCGGACAACGACTCGCAAACAGGCAACACACGCGAAGCAGCAGAGAAGGATTTGCCACAAACTATGGTGTAGAGGACTTCGAACAAAACACAAGTGAACTGGGTAGTGGAGGACGGTGTTGCCTTCCGCACCTAGAGAACAGCAGCTGTTTCAGTTCAACGAGGGGAGGGGGACCAGAGTGGACGAGTGTGCTTTTGGGTGTGATGTACTGTACACCAGCAGCAGCAGCAGCTGACCGTGGCCCAGCTTGTCCCTCGATTCAAGACAAACTCGAGGGGGTCTTCGAAATTGGTCAGGCCGGGTTGGCTCGGCAGTTCCGAGGTCCACCACGAGCTCTCTTGCTTCCGAGGTTCGGAAGTCCCTTCAACTTCCTGACCGTGATTCAGGGAGTGTTACTTTGCGCGCTGGTCCATTTACGAGGAAATGGACCGGCGAATGCAAGGGGGCACCATTTTAGAGGGATCACTTCCAAAAGTGGTCCCGCTTGGTACCGGGAATCATTTGCGGCGGACCAGCTATGCACAGTGCATTGCAGCTTTGAAAACGAAGTGTTGACGAACACAAAAGTGTACCTGGTTACGCTTGAACAAGATGTCGCAAACAGCAAATACCTTTGGCGAAAAATCAGAACGCGAGTTTCGCATGCGATTCCCATCCCCTTGGGTCGCTCTGGAAATGGTCCTGGGTGTCGAGCATCTTTTTCGTACGTGCGCCTTGAACTGTACATGCTGGTCCGTGGGCGGGTGCAGGTCGGGTCCACACCTGAGCCGTTCGCTGGTCCATGCTGGTCCGCGCTGGTCCATTCAATTGCCCCTGGGCCGCAGCGGCCCAGCCCGGCCCAGTGTAGGTCTTACGCACATGGCACACCCCCTTAGTGGCGGAACAGAAAGTCTGCTCATGACAGCTAGCTGGAAGGGATTGGTTTGGAAGTTGGAGTCAGGAATTGGGAATTGGGAGCATTGGAGGTGTGACAGAAGCAGTTCAGCTGGACCTGAAATTTGGAAAAGGGCGCTGAATGAATCAGTAAAGAGATAATACACTCCTCCAAAATGGAGCTTTATCTGCTCAAGCAGTTGCACAAACTCGGTTTCCAGCAAGAAACTAAATGGCGTGCAAAAATAGCAACGCCCCTTTATTCATCTTGGCTTTACATGTTCCCCGGTCACTAGCAACACACCACTATCCAAACACGGAGCTCAGCTTAGAGATAACAGCAGCATCGGAGCTGCACAAATCACTGAGCCAGGCTACCACTGGTCCAATGTCGGGCCGATTTCTACGGAGAGGGTTCAGACACTCTGAAGCAATTCTCGTCAGCATCTCCAGCTTGTGAGTAGGGTACTCTTCCATCCGCTCGTCTACTATCAACCCGTAGTTTTCGTCCTTGATCTTGGGTATTGCCTGCGAATAAGGGTCAGGTCGGGAGGATGGAATATATGGCAAGAAGGCATGCAGGCTTGACGTATGGAGAAAGAGAGAGAGAGAGAGAGAGAGAGAGAGAGAGAGAGAGAGAGAGAGAGAGAGAGAGAGAGAGAGAGAGAGTGAGAGAGAGAGAGAGAGAGAGAGAGAGAGAGAGAGAGAGAGAGAGAGATCAATGTAGCAACAAGAGATTCCCCCCCCTCCCCCTCCCCCCCTGCAGCATGACAAGCAAGGGGGTTAGTGAACAGAGCAACCAAGCACAAGTGTGCCTTACCCATTGAGCAAGTGTAACAATCTTGACAGTGTTTCGACCCTCCTTAGCTACCACCTCTTCTTCCACCACTGGTGGTCGACCCGTTATAAGCTCGAGGATGACAACTCCAACTCTGCAACAAGTTCAAAAGATTGGAAACGGTGCATCCAATACCGATGATGCAGGATGTAAGGAGCAGGAAACAGTTCAATAAATTGCATAACACAAAGTCGTGGTGGTTTCGATCCGTGGTGGTGTGCTGTGTTGTGGCCTCATTACCTACGGACAAATCGCACCTCAAAACACACACCAGATGAAGACTACAGTTCCAGCCCAATAAATGACAGTGTCAATATACCATCACTCAAAAGCCGGAAACCACAGGAATAGAATGTTCTCACTCCCACATGAGAGCACGCAAATGGAATCTCACGCAAAGATCTCGGCCTTGGTAGTGACGACGAAGGTTTGGCAGTATTCGGGATCCAGGTACCCCTTCCTCCGCTGCACGCGCACTCGGCTCGACTCCCCTGGCAGATGCTTGCGCGTCCCCAACCCCCCCAGCTTCGCCTGTCAGACACGCATGCCATCCATTGCCACATATGCATGCACGGGCGGTTCAAGTCAAGGCTGCAGTTGACTTGCATTGAATTGCATTGACCAGAGAGGTCAATGCTCACATTGAAGTTGCCATCCCACAGGATGGTTGATGCCTTGATGTCACGGTCAAGGATTTCCACGGTGCATGATTGGCTTGGGCTGCGAGTGCGAGAAACTTCACAGCACTGCGCCATTGACTACCATTGACTTGCGTTGACTTCAGTTGACCAGAGGGGCTTGACTCACATTGAAATTTTCGTCCAGCAGGATGGTTTCGGTCTTGACGTCACGATACACCACCGGCTGACTTCTATGTAAGTAGACTAAATCAGTCTGTTGACTTCGGTTGACCTCCATTGACTCACATTGAATTTCTCGTCCAGCAGGATGGTTTGGGTCTTGATGTCACGGTGCACCACTGGCTTGGGCTGCGAGTGCAGGAACTCCACAGCGCGTGCCACGTCAGCAGCGATCCTCACGCGCTGCTCAAACGTGAGTGGCGGTCTTGACACTGTAGTTCAGAGGGGTGTGGGGAAGATGGGGAAGGCGGGGGGGTGGGAGGGAGAGAGGGGAGGACAGAGAGGGGGGAGGACAGAGAGGGGGGACAGGGAGCATGTGGTGTGGGGAAGGGAAGGCTTCATAGGACAATAGAACTTTTAGTTTCCAACAACTTGCAATGATCTGATACGGAGTTGACCTTTGAGTCGACTCAAAAGTCAACTGGGGAAGGGAGGGCTCCACAGGACAACCGAACTAACAGGTCACCAGCGGCCTCTTGTTCCACACTCACCATTGCCGTCTGCACGCGGGCGCAGCCAGGAAGCGAGCGAGCCGTGCTGCATGTGCTCGAATATGAGGATCTGCTCGCTGCCCTCGTCGCAGTAGCCCACGAGCGGGAGGAGATTGGGGTGGCGCAGACTCGTGATGAGCATCACCTGGCAAGGGGGAAGGGGAGGGAGGGCGGGAATGTACGCAAGAGGGTTTGTTTTGAGACGTATCAAAACGAGACGTATCAAAACGAGACGTCTCAAAACAAATCTTCATACACGTGCAGACTCGTGAACAGCATCACCTGGCAGGGGGGAAGGGGAGGGAGGGCGGGAATGTACGCAAGAGGGTTTAGGAGCCGCGCTGCATGTGCTCGAAAATGAGTATCTGCTTCCTCGTCGCAGTTGCCCACAAGGGGGAGCAGGCTGGGGTGGCGCACACTCGTGATCAGCATCACCTGGCAGGGGGGAAGGGGATGGGGGCGGGAACGGGGAGAAGGGGGGAGGAGAGAGGAGATAGGGAGGGTGGGAAGGCAAGCAGAGACAAGAGGGTGCAGCCAGGAAGGCAGAGAGCCAGGACGCAAGGAAGCGAGGCGTGGAAGCCCATCCCTCTGAGAATTCAGGGGACTAAAGGCTAGATTCCCCGTGGAGGCCAGATTCTCCACCAGCAGCGCACCTCGCGGAGAAACAGCGCCTGGGTCTCGGGCTGCGGCTGCTTGCACCGCTTGACCGCCACGCAGAAGCACGCTTAGAAGCAACCCCCCACCCGCGGCAAGACCGCCACCCATCACCCAAATCACGCGCCTCCAGAGCCAGCGCACCTCTCGGAGAAACAGCGCCTGGGTCTCGGGCTGCGGCTGCTTGCACCGCTTGACCGCCACGTCCCGCCCGTCGCGCGCGATCCCGCGCAGCACCACGCTCTGCCCCTCCGCCTCGATCACGCGCTCCTGCGCGAACTGCGCCGTGGCCTCCGCCACGTCCGCCAGCGACCACTTCTCCGCCCGCGCGCGCGGAATCTCCGCATCCTCGTCGTCGTCCGTTCCGCCCACCACGTGGACTGCGCCTTGCCGGGGCTTCATCCGCGCGCTGCTGAGGCTGCGGGGAGTGGTGATAACGGTGGTGGCCTTTTCGGGTGCGACCGTGTCTTCTGAGCGGGCTGCTTCTGATAGGAGAAGCGGATAGGACCGGAGGGGAGTTGGAAAGGAGAGGAGGATGCATGAATACGTTATCTAAGCTGTACAGATTGATTGGGTTGGGTTGGGAGGAGCACGAGCGGAACAGAATGAGGTGGGACTCGACGTGACCGTGAAGCACTTGGAGAAAATGCATCTTACTGGTTCTATCAAGCAGCATATGAAGCAGCATATTGATGCCGAGCGCAGTTTTGAGGCGCTTCGAAACCGGCCCTGAGCTCTCCGGAAAAAAACGAAAAAACATAATCTCACTGGTTCGGTCGAGCAGCATCTTGATGCCGAGCGCGAAGAGCGCAACGAGGAGAATCGACATGATCCTTGAGTCGTCTCAAAAGTCATCTCTGCGCCCAGCATCTTTGAACCTAAGAATCTTACTCGATCGGTCGAGCAGCATCTTGATGCCGAGCGCGAAGAGCACGACGAGCAGCAGCGCCACTAGAACCGAGATGATAATCGTTGCAGCTGGAGGTGCAGACATCGCACGGAGGTGACGGAAAGGAAGGACACAGGAAGTTAGGAGGGGGAAACGGGGAAGAAGAAAAGTCAGGGAAAGAAATGGGAAAGAATACAACGAAAGGTAAAGAAAGAGGAAGGATTGAGATAGATGTGGCTACGAAAGGAGAGAACGCCGACTGTCAGTCAGTGCCCGTTGGAAAGAGAGCGAACTCAGAAGCTGTGATGCAAAAAGCCGAGTTTCGAAGCTTACAAACTTGCAAGGAGTGTAGAAAAGAGCATTCTTACTGCCTGTGCTGGAGAGAAGAATCCGAGGCTACGGCCGACTTTTGAGTCGACTCAAAAGTCAGCTCGGTATAATGTCACACGTTATTTTTGAGTCGACTCAGAAGAGCATACTTACTGCCTGTGCTGGAGAGAAGAATCCGAGGCTGCGGCCGACCTGCCATACGAGCAAGGGGAGTTGGGGTTGCAGTATTAATTAGCATTTTTTTCGGGGCGCTGAAACTTGTCAAACGACGTCCGATTGAAAATGAGTTCGGTTTATAAGGCGCTTTGGAAATACAGTATTTAGACTGAGATTAAAATGATTTTTGCTGGTGTGGTTACTTCTGTTGAACAAGAATCCAGTTGTCAACTTGAAAGCTTTGTTCCCGTGCTCGGAATTCGGCCTGTCATATAGTTTCCAGACGCGTTTATTTGTGCGTACCGGCTGTGGCGACGCCTGCATTCACGAGTGCGATGAGTGCGACGGCCACGACGACGTCGCACGACAGCGGCGCCGATAGTTTTGAATGTTCTGACGACGACAGCTTCCAATGCTCCATTCGCCGCAAGAGCGCCATCCCGTATCAGCGAATCGCGGTGTTATCTCCGTCCGTACCCTTGCCGCGACGAGTAGTTTCTGAGATGCTTGGTTGTGTAACTACCGTCGTCTTATGCAATTGCTGGATGCCGTTTCGTTCTAGCGACTGTTGCTGACGACCTTATTGAAACATTTCGTTCCTCGAATGCGCAATTGATGTGGATGAGTAAGTCAATGGGGCAGGCTGGGAATTAGCAAAAGCGAAACGAGGAACGGACACCAAGAATGATAATCAGCACAATACGTAACTGGTGGGAAAGAGTACGAGGAGGAAGTGATGAAACGCATGGGAGCAATTTTGAGGACTTCAGAAGATACGAGATACTGTATGGGGGAGGATGTGGCGCGGTGTGGCCAGAAACGGATTGCCTGTTTGCGTGGTTCATAAGTCTTGGGCTGCAACAATTATTGTGGGCGCTCGACATTTGAACATGCGATTCGGATCTACAATCGCACCGCGCGGTTGGCGATTGAGTTGGACTTTCGCAGCTGGATTTGCAGCGCACAGCGAATGCGACAAGTAAGGCCGAGGCCCAATAATTTTCTTCCTTGTCCGCCTGTTGCGGTGGTGGTGACAGATCCAATAATTGCGACGACAGAACCTGGTTACCTTTCATTCTCAGCAAATTGAACTTTCAAAAGAATATAATGTAACGATATATTTCACAAAATACCTTATCGGATGTGTAACGAACTCATCAGAATCGAGGACATTGATATTGTCCTGCATCTCACGGCACCCACATAGATTTCCTGCTCCCCTCCCTAGACACCACCTCGCTGCGGCGGAAACTATAATGGGTGGGCATTGGAAAATCCATGGTTGCTGGGAAATTCCGGTTTTCTGCATACTGTAGTTTCGTTTCTCTGCTATGGGCATCGGGAAATTCATGGCAGTTGGGTAGGCTTGTCTAGCAGACCATAGCCTGCCATAGCCATATCCCGCTGATAACCGTTTTGTTACGAGATTTATTGCGTGAGTTAACATCGGCGTGGTTTCCGCATTTGATTTGAACGATACGACTGCGAGAAGAACGCCTGTGCATTCAACTTCAAGGCTCCGTGCTCTTGGATAGTCCGCCTGAATTGCTGCTCTATCGTCGACTCTCGTCGTCAGCCAGTGATTGACGCGGAACTTAAAGTGCAGCATGGAGGGTAAGGAGACCCACTCTCCTGGATCCGCTCTCCGTCGGTCAGCCACTCACGACGACGGAATAGACCCCTTTGATGCAATCCTAGATGCTGACGACGGCTCCGATGACGCGAGCCCGTCCCTCACGAAATCTCGGCCGTCCAATCTCTTTCGTCCGATCCAGCAGCTCTGGCGACGACCCATCGTGCGATTCGCCGTCGCACAGATCTTCATCGTCTGGGCTGTCGCAGCGTCGGTTCTCTACATCCAAGACGTCGCAATGTCGCACGAGGGGTCGCTACAACACAGCGACATTTCAGGTCTAGGTGCAGGCAGCGGCCTCGGAGCTGCCGGTCAAGCAACCTTATTGGAGCAGCTTAAAAAGCGGTTTCATGAACGTTGTCCCATGCGCCCACCAGTGTGCCGGCCCAGGATCGACCTGAAGGCGGTCGCGCATAGCGCGAAGCACTTTTACGCGCAAGACAAGCCCGCGGACGGGGAAGGCCGGGGCCTGGGGGAGACCGCGGGGGGATCCGCGGACGGGAAGAATGGGACAAGCGGGGGCGGAGGCGGAGCTGGCGGAGCGGGGGATGAGCTTCCGCTGGTGGTTTTCTTCGCGGGGATTGAGGGTTCGGGGCATAAATTCTTCGAGCAGGTGTTTCGGAACATAAAGAAGGTCAATTTCAGTGGTGAGTTGCTGATGCCTGTCCGTGCTGTCCCCTGTCTGTCCGTGCTGTCCCCTGTCTGTCCGTGCTGTCCCCTGTCTGTCCGTGCTGTCCCCTGTCTGTCCGTGCTGTCCCCTGTCTGTCCGTGCTGTCCCCTGTCTGTCCGTGCTGTCCCCTGTCTGTCCGTGCTTTCCCCTGCTTGGCGTTGCTCTCCCCTGCAATGGTGGCGCTCGAGCCGCTGCTCCACCTCGCCTCTCCCACTTACTTCATTCCCCCTCCCCCCAATTCCCCAACCTCCCCAACTTCCCCTGTCTGGCCGTGCATTTCCGAACCTGCCCGTGATGTTCGCCGCGTCCCCTGCAGTGGTGGCGTTCGAGCCGCTGCTCCACCTCACCTCTGAGGAGACCCAGACACACGTGCACGGCGTGGACGCACGGTGAGTGCCGGCTCAGTGCGGTGATAAGTGGCAGTGCAGGGGTGCGAGCTGGTTCAATGTGGTGATTCTGTGAATGGAGAGTGCAATTGATCATGACTTTCACGTTGCTTCTTGACCCACCCCACACCGACCCCCCCCCCCCCCCACCCCACATCGACCCCCCCACCCCCATCCGTCTAACCCTCCTCTGTTTTGGTCGACTCAAATGTCACCTCAGCCTATTCCGCCCCTAGTCCGTTCCATCCTTTGGCTCCAATCCTACACCTGGCTCTAACCCCACGCCCGCCCCCCCTTTTTTTCGCTCCACCCCACATACTCATCCCCCCTTCTCCCTCCCCCCCTGCTCCGCCCCTCGCCCTTCCCCCGTTTCTCCCCCTGCTCCGCCCCTCGCCCTTTCCCCGTTTCTCCCCCTGCAGCTGTCCGCGGCTGCCCTACGCGCGTCCCCTGCGCGCCTATGCCAAGGAGATGGCTGTGCGGCTGGCAGAGATTGGCAGCTGTATGTAGTGGGTGGGTGGGTGGGTGGGTGGGTGGATGGGTGGGTGGATGGGTGGGTAGGTGGGTGGGTGGGTGGGTGGGTGGGTGGGTGGGTGGATGGATGGGTGGGTGGGTGGGTGGGTGGGTGGGTGGGTGGGTGGATGGATGGGTGGGTGGGTGGATGGGTGGGTGGGTGGGTGGATGGATGGGTGGGTGGGTGGGTGGATGGGTGGGTGGGTGGATGGGTGGGTGGGTGGGTGGGTGGGTGGGTGGGTGGGTGGGTGGGTGGGTGGGTGGGTGGGTGGGTGGGTGGGTGGGTGGGTGGGTGGGTGGATGGATGGGTGGGTGGGTGGTTGGGTGGGTGGGTGGGTGGATGGATGGATGGATGGGTGAGTGGGTGGATGGATGGGTGGATGGGTGGGCGGATGGGAGGTTGGTTAGCCCAGCATTCGCCTTCTCTGCTCTCGTTTTATCAGCACCCCCTCCCGTTTGTCCCCTCTTTTCGTCTCCTCTCTCCTCACTTCCTTTCTTCCATGTTCACCTGCTAACGGTACCTCACCTGATGAGATTACAGGTGTCTATATATGAGGCGCCTTAAATATAGACCTGCTTAACGGTGCGCCACCTTATGAGATTACAGGCACCTCACAATACCTCACCTGATCTTTCTCCACCCCTCCCGCTTTCCCCCCCCCTTCTCTCCCTCCCTCGGTCCTTCCCACCCCCAACCACACACACACCAGCCGCGTACCTCCGAGCTCGGGACTCCTACCCTCTGGGCCGGGTTCGGACGCCCCTGGCTCGGCCGGACCTGGTGCACATGCTGCAGCTGGACGGGCTGCTATTCAACCTCAAAGTCGTCGTCATCTCCAGAGGGCTGCCTGATGCTGTTCGCTCGGCATACAGGATGGGCTACCATGGAGGGGACCTGGGCCTTCAGGTGAGCACCTCCTCTCCCCTCTCCTCTTTGGCTCGGCCGGACCATTTGCACATGCGGCAGCTGGACGGACTTCTTTTTAACCTCAAGTTGGTAGTGATTTCCCGAGGGCTGCCTGATGCTGTACGCTCCGTGTACCGCATGGGCTACCATGTACGCTCCGTGTACCGCATAGGCTACCATGGAGGGAACTTTGGCCTTCAGGTGGGTTCCCTATTGCTGTGCTCAGAGCCTCCTCTCCTCTCCTCTCCTCTCCTCTCCTCTCCTCTCCTCTCCTCTCTCAGTGCACCGCACCTGGGTGAGTCACATGCTGCCGCTGGACGGGCTGCTTTTCAATCTGAAGGTGGTTGTCATTTCACAGGGGCTGCCCGATGCCGTGCGCTCGGCATACAGAATGGGCTATTTCACGGAGGAGACCTGGGCCTGCAGGTTAGAGAGATTTCCTTCTGGAGCCCTCTCCCTTCTGGAGCCCTCTCCCTTCTGGAGCCCTCTCCCTTCTGGAGCCCTCTCCCTTCTGGAGCCCTCTCCCCTTACTGGGACCTGGTGTACATGCTGCAGCTGGACGGGCTGCTCGTCAACCTCCACCTCAAGGTCGGCGTTATTTCCCGTTATTCACTCACACATTCACGTCCCTCTCCCCCCTTGCCAACCCCCTCGGACCCTCCCCCCCCCCCCCCCCCTTCACCAGGTGCGTATAGTGGAGGACGAGATGGTGTTTCTGGACTCCACCATGCGCATGAGAGTAGCAGGTAGTATGATGCCCATTCGCTCACTGACTCGCACACACCACCCCCCTTCCTTGCCACACCCCACCAGGTGCGCATAGTGGAGGACGAGATGGTGTTTCTGGACACCACCATGCGCATGATCCCCTGCAGCAAGTACATTGTGCTCGACTTTGACTGGGTGGCTGACAGCCCCGAGGTGAGCGCCTGATTGGTAACCACCTGATTGGTAACCACTTGCATGATGCAACACACCTGCCCGATTGCTTCTCCTCGTCCTTCTTGTCTCTAGCTTCCTCTCTCTGCAGCCTCTCCCCCCTGCCTTCCTCCAATCTCCACCTCTCCTCAACCCTTCTATTTCATTTTTCCTCATTTCATTCCACCTTTCTTTCTCTTTCTTTCTTTCTCCCAGCTCGTGGCAGAGCCTCTGGCAGACTTTCTTGGAATGGGGTTGACAGCAGAGGATGTGATTGCGGGGGTGAAAGGCGCCACACAAACCAAGCCCAAGCACCAAACCGAGTACCCCGAATTTGGCGGGCAGGCACTAGACGAGTTTTTCTCGGTCCGGGCGGACATGTGGCCGCTGTTGCTGGCATGTCGGTCGACACCGTTTTTCCGCCCGCTGCATCCACGGGATTGGCCGATCACGCACTCCGAGTTGGCTGGGGTTATGGAGAGAAGGCAAGGTTACGATTATGATTAATTCGCAGCGGAGAACAGTGTACACTACTGAGTCAGGTTTGGGGTGTCAGACATGTACATGTCAGTGCTAAAAGGAAGCGGGTTTGCATCTTTGAAAATTTAGCTGAAAATATTATTTTCAGACACGATATTCAAGTGTTTCTGTTTCCCTAAGGGGGCCGGCTGTTGCACGCTCCTTGCACTAAAGCGTATTCCTGGCACTGGGAATGCCGAGCACATTTGGTCAATGACAAACGAATTAGATTTGGCGGGAAAAACCAAGGTCGGTCTGCTACCAACGGACTCTTTCTTCTCGCTACTGCTGTGCTGACCCAGGCTGAGGAGACTAGACACTCGTTGACAAAATGGAGATGGATACAGTCTGATTCTTATCCAGCCAGGGTGTTTCTGTTAGCTGCAAGATCTCGTAGACCACTCTGGTTCATAGATTATTCCGATTACCTCCTTGCCAGTCTCTTGTCTTTTCGCCGGATTTACGAAGTTCATGCGACGTCTCCTTGACTACAGCGATGATCCGCGAATCAGTAACGCTCGCATGGACTTTGGCGACAGTTCTACTCCTCGCACTCCCATGGGTCGCGGAATCTGCAGTCCATCGATATAAGGGCGAGCGCTTCTTTCCGGCCTCTGACGCGTTCTTATTTCGGGGGGGTCGCGAGGGTCTCTTTATGTCCACGCCGTACGCTATTGCTAACTGGCAGACCGTCGCGAAAGGCGTGTCTAACGGCAAAGCGTACATTCGGTAAGCATTGAAGTAGTTTTCTTTTTTATTTTACTATTAACCAGCGTCACTCTATTACGTGCGGTATGCCGCGAACGCCGTACGGTCCGCTCAACGGTCTCTTGATGGCCACGCCGTTCGCCGTTTCTAATTGGCCGACTGAATGATTTTTCCAACATTGCTACAGTCGCGCGATGTTTTCATCCGTTATAGCCTGGTACCGCTTATCCGTCAAAGCTGTCCTATCCTCGACTTTATTAACACATACAGCAAGTAAATGTGCGCCATATCTAGCTCATATACGAGCAAACGATCAACAAATTGGTAAATCAAAGCAATGAGTTTCGTCTGTTTTCGCGCGTTCCTTTCTTTTTTGCCACCTGATCTGAATCACACTCTCGTCGCCATCAGATTCGACCACCTGGAATTCCATCGGCCGGCAGAAGAGGCGCAACGGTCGCCGCAGGTTGGGAAAACCGGCCGTATCGAAGCTCTCCTATTCGACGTGGAAGATCGCGATCGGATCGGATACGCCACGTCAGCAAAGACGCGATCCTTCTGCTGCACTCCTGAGCTAGTGCAACGCACCGGGTGCAACCCCGGCCACGTCATCGTCCGGCCAAGGGATGGCGACCACCAGGTAAGGCGAGAAGGCCGTGTGTGAAGGAACGACCAGCAGGTAAGGAGAGAAGGCCTTGCGAAGAATATGCAGCTGGTGAGGCGAAATGCCTCATGTGGTGGGAATCAATCTCCTTGATAACGAAAATCCGATGGGTGTTTCCATTCCCTTTCCCGAACGCCCCCTAGCTCCCCCCAATGCCCTCTCGCTCTCCCGCTCACCCGTCCCCTTTCCCCAAGTCCCTCCCTTTTGTCACTGCCCCCTCACTTTCCAAAATCCCCCTCAACCATCCCCTCCCTGCAGTGGCCGCGTGTGGTGGAGATCAATTTCTTTGGCAACGACACCACAGTGGTGGCAGCGCCGTCGGAGATTCGCATCAAGATGACGGGCATGTACTACCTCTGGTTCGTCATCTGCGACAAGAGCATGGCTGGCGTGTCTGTAACGGGGACAACTGTGTGGAAGAACCCTGACGGGTATCTGCCCGGCATGATGGCGCCTTATCTCCTTTTTTACGAAATCATGGCTGTGGTGAGTGGTAATTTCAGTTGTGCTGTTGGCGCAACCTGATTCTTCTTTTGAGGTGCCTCAGAAACCTGACGGGTATCTGCCCAGCATGATGGCACCTTGCCTCCTATTCTATGAGATCATGGCTGTGGTGAGTGCTGGTTCCTGTGGTCAGTTCTATACTTGGCGCGACTTGCGTGAGAAAAGATTGCAGTTAAGACTTGGTGTCTAGAGCTACTGGAGTTTCCGTGATACACGTGCATCACAGCAGTGCTTGTGCTCTCCATGGCCGAGATGGCCACCTGGTTCTTCGACTTCACCTCCTCTCCCCTCACCACACAACTTCCTCTGCGCTCACCTTAACCCCTCCCCCCTCCCTCCAACCCCCGCCCCCTCCCTCTCTCCCTACTACCCACTCCCCCCCCCCCTCTTTCCCCCCTCCTGGGTTTCCCAACCACCAGGTGTACACGATCCTGGGCATCGTGTGGTTTGCGCAGTATTTCCGTTTCTGGCAGGACGGGCTGCAGATCCACACGTGCATCACGGCAGTGCTTGTGCTCTCCATGGCCGAGATGGCCACCTGGTTTTACGACTTCGCCAATTTTAACTCCTCCGGCTTCCGCCCCATCGGCACCACCATCTGGGCGGCGACTCTCGGCGCCATCCGCAAGGCGGTCTCCCGCGTGCTAGTTCTAGTCGTCTCCATGGGGTTCGGCGTCGTTCGTCCCACTCTGGGCGGGTTATCCGGGAAGGTTGTGGCGCTAGGAGTGGGGTACTTCGCGGCTGTGGAGCTCCTAGACGTGATGCAGAACGTGGGGGCGATTGACGATCTGACGAGCAGCGAGCGGCTGTTCCTGGTGCTGCCGGTGGCGGTGCTCGATGCCATTTTCATCCTCTGGATCTTCTCCGCGCTTTCCAAGACGCTCGCGCAGCTGCAGGCCAAGCGCACCACGCACAAACTGGAGCTGTACCGCAAGTTTACCAACAGTCTGGCGATCGCTGTGCTGGTGTCGGTCGCCTGGATAGGCTTTGAGGTGAGAATCCTGTTGCTGCTTGTGTGGTAGGTGGAACAAGGTCAAGCAAGGTCAAGCAAGGTCGAAGGAGAATAGACTATCAAGGAGAATCAAGGTGAAGCGGAGGTCAAGCAAGTGGGAGGGTTTTAGAGTACATCCATCCATCCATCCATCCACCCCTTCCCAATACCCCGTTATCCAGTTGTACCTGCGCACATCGGACCCGTACAACAAGCAATGGGAGGGTAATGAGGCACCTAATCACGAGTACATTCCTTTGCCCATACCCACCTACCCCAGATGTACCTGCGCACATCGGACCCGTACAACGAGCAATGGGAGGGCGACTGGATCACCGGGTGCTTCTGGCATGTGCTCACGCTCATGCTGCTCTGCCTCATCTGCGTGCTCTGGGCGCCCTCTAGAAACGCCACCAGGTAAGCCTGGGAGTGCTGTGGGGTGCTCACGCTCATGCTGCTCTGCCTCATCTGCGTCTTATGGGCGCCTTTGAGAAACGCCACGAGGTATGGATGGGGTTCAGGGTTTAGTCCCCTTGTCGCTGCACTGGGTGCTTCTTGCACTGGGTGCTTCTTGCACTGGGTGCTTCTTGCACTGGGTGCTTCTTGCACTGGGTGCTTCTTGCACTGGGTGCTTCTTGCGCTGGCTGCTTCTTGCGCTGGGTGCTTCTTGCACGTGCTCTGTCTGCCTCATCTGCCTGGTCGCCCTAAAGAAACGCCAGCAGGTAAGCCCTGCCCCCTTGCTTTGCGTGTGCTGGATGGGGTGGAGCTACACTCTACCATGCTCATACAGCTGGTGCTCTGCTGCTCCCTTACTCTCTCTTTCACTTTCCCCCATTCCCCTTGTTTGCTTCTGCACGCACCGCTCTTTGGTACGGATACGCATCATCGGAGGATGCGCCAAAGGAGTAGGGGGGGGGAGGTAGCCCTCACTGCAGTGTCAGCTTCTGGTGGTGCTGCATGCTTACACACTTGCCTTTCACTCCTTCCTCTCACTCTTCCGCACTCCTTTTCACTCCCCTCTCTCATTCATACAGATACGCATACTCGGAGGATGTTCCAGAAGAGTTGGGGGAGGAGGAGGTAGCACTTACTACTGTATCAACTTCTGGTGGTGCTGGTGGTGGTGGTGGAGGGGCGGAGAAGAAGCAAGCAGTGAACACAGACGTGTTCTCATTGGATGATGAGTTGGAGGAGGGGAAGAAAGAATGAGGGGGTGAAGAAGGGGGAGAACTGGGGAGCTGAGAACGCAACTGCTGTGCAGCAGGCGTATGGTGAGGGATGCAGAGAAGAGAACTCATTCATTGCTACACGTTTTGAGACATGTCAAAACCGAGCAGCAAGAGTGCCACCACAAATACCGGTAGTGAAGCCCAGTGTTACTCCTACTGCTAGTTTGCTAATTTTCCTGTAACGACATCAAACCTCTGTTGCAAGAACGAAGGACAGTACACCATTGAATAGCAAGGCAACAGTGTCTACACCTCCCAAAGGTGCGCAACATGGTTCATTCAGAATTCATTATTATCTAATCAGGAAGATTGTGCACAACGTCTAGGCTATAAACCAGCTGCAGCCTATTGGAGAAAAAGGCCAGCAGTGAGCAGGCACATATCTAAGCAGCAGCACCTGCAAAGGGCTTGAGCGCAACCCGGCCAGAGGCAGAGAGTGGAGGGAGAGTGAGACCTGCAGAACCATCAGTGGAGGCAACCCTGCCACCAGCAACACTACCAGCAGCAGCTGGAGCAGAAGGTACAGCAGCAGCCTGCACTATCCGTGCAGTTGGGGGACCAGACAGCACCCGGGCCTTTCCAGGGTTGAGCAGTGAATCCGCCATGGTCCATCCCTCAGCAGCAGCCCGCTCCTCAAACGTCCCAAACAGGGTTCGCGTGAGTTCAAGGCTCTCTGACACTGCCCGCTCCACCTCTGCAGATGTGAGGGACCTTTGCCACGCGCGAGGGCCCTTGGGACTGATTTCCTTGGGTGCCCACCGACCTGGGGAGCTGCTGGTCAGGGCTGTTGGGGAGAGGGCGGTCGGGGCGAGGTCTGTCGGGGAAAGGGCCGCTGGGTTGAAGCTGCCAGGAGTTTGGACTTTGGGAGAGTTTCCAGGAGAAAGGTGGTGAGTCAGCAGGGGTTGCTGACAGGTGTCCTGCCGCCATTGGTGCAGCAGGTGCAGCAGCACGTGCGTCTGGAAGGCCGCCCGCACCACGTCCCTTGATTTGGCTCCTTCCTTGAGGACGACGTACGCCCTCCGGTGGCTCGGAAGGTACGTCACAATGTACTGCTCGTCCTGGTGTTGAGAAGGACGAGAGGGGGTTTGGTGGGAGGGGTGGGTGGCAGGGGTGGGTGGCAGCGGCAAGCATACCCTGAAGATGGCTTGTATGTGACGCGAGCAGATCAGAAGGGCTTCTGAAGGCATGCATTGGCGACCTGTGCCCCCAGGTCAAGAGGCCGGTTCACAGCCCACAGCAGCACGAGAATGCGCTCCCTGGCGTTGGCCCCGCCCCGTTGGTGCCGATTCTACAAGCAGCACCAGACATACCTTGAAGATGGCCTGTGATGCGAGCAGGTCAGAATGGCTTCTGAACGCGTCTCCAACCCGCGATCCCAATTCAAGGGGTCGGTCCACAGCCCACGGCAGCACGAGAATGCGTTCCCTGGCGTTGGCCTCCCTGGTATGGTATCAATCCCACAAGCAGGAGCAGAACGTACCTTGAAGATGGCCTGTGATGCGAGCAGGTCAGAGGGACTCCTGAATGCGTCTGCCACTCGTGCTCCCAGCTCAAGAGGTCGATCCACAGCCCACGGCAGCACGAGGATGCGCTCCCTGGCGTTGGCCTCTGCTAGGGAAGGCACCTGCCCCGTCTCCAGGAAGGAGCGCACTGCCACGGCAAAGCGAGCGCGGTTGAGCGTGGGTACTTGCACGGACTTGACCTGTGGGGGGTTGGAGGGGAAGAGACGGGAAAGATGTGTATGTGTGCGCGCATGTGTGTGCGGTGTATGTGTATGTGTATGTGTGTGCGTGCGTGTGCGAACGCGCACACGTTTGTGTGCGAACGCGCACACGATTATGTGTGCGCGCGTGCATGTGTGTGCGCGCATGCATGTGTGTGCGCGCATGCATGTGTGTGCGCGCATGCATGTGTGTGCGCGCATGCATGTGTGTGCGCGCATGCATGTGTGTGCGCACATGCATGTGTGTGCGCGCATGCATGTGTGTGCGCGCATGCATGTGTGTGCGCGCATGCATGTGTGTGCGCGCATGCATGTGTGTGCGCACATGCATGTGTGTGCGCGCATGCATGTGTGTGCGCGCATGCATGTGTGTGCGCGCATGCATGTGTGTGCGCGCATGCATGTGTGTGCGCGCATGCATGTGTGTGCCTAAGTGGATGCGAGATCATTCAGTAGAGCGACCCAAAGAGGTCACTGCAGGGAAGCGAAAATACAGTGGCCAGGCTGACGTGGAATGTGCAGGCGCATGTGCATGTGTGCATGTGCATGTGTGCATGTGCACGTGTGCATGTGCACGTGCATGTATGCATGTGCACGTGCATGTGTGCCTAGCATATGTGTGCACATGTCCATGTGTGTGCGAGTTCATGTGTATGAGTGCCTGTACATATTTTTGCATGCATGTAAATGTGCATGTGTAATTTCATGTGCGCATGTGAGTTCATGAGTATGTACTAGTTGCATGTCTGCTCTGCATGTGTGTGCGTCGCATCTCACCTCGTTGAACGATGCAAAGAGGTAGCCGCAGGAAAGGAGGGCAAAGGTGGCGGCAAGGTGAGGGTTGCTCCTCGCAATGAGAATGCCGGCTCCTGTGCCCATCTGCACGCACGTGAAGTGTACACAGTACAGACATTAACTCAGAAAGAAAAACGGAACATATAAGTACCGAGTTTATTCAGTAATGTCAAGCAGAGGATGGCGGTGATGGAGCAGAGGGCGGGCAGAGTGGCTCAGGCGGCCTCCATGGTGCCCGCTCTGCAGGTGCGTGTGTGCTGTGGAGTCGGGGTGCACAGCACACACACACACCTGAAGAGCGGGCACCATGGAGGCCGCCTGAGCCATGCTATCCGCCCTCTGCTCCATCACCGACAATGCTTGAAACAGGCACATACACCGCCTCCCCCCTCCCACCACCTACCACCCATCCATCCATCCACCCACCCGCCCCCCTCCGTCTGACCCACACACAACCCCCACACACGACCCCCACCCACCAGGTCAGCGAGGTTACTAATGCTTTCCCCTTTGGCCGTGATGTCTCCAATGTTCTCCCGCCGCGCAAACGCCTTGTAGATGGGCGCTCGGGTCGATGTGTTGGTCACGGCCCCAATGTTCTAAGGTAAGGGAAAAGGAGAAAGGGAGGGGAGGAAGGGGACGAGGGAGGCATGATGGGAGTGTGGTGGTGGGGGGGGGGGGGGGGGGGGGGGAGAGAGGGAGGGGGGAAGGAGAGGGGATTTGAAGAGTTGTTTAAGAAGTCGTTTGAAAGGTTGGTTGATGGGAAATAAGCGCTCGTTTCATGCGCTGGGAGGAATTGCAAGGGCGTGACCATCGTTTCGCATAGCACAGAACCCACTTAGCCGCACTGCACCCGACTGTTTTGCACTTGACCGCATTGCACCCACCTTGAACACATTGGCGACACAGGCGAGTGGGAGGAAGAACTTGGGGGCGGCCATGGTGCAGAGCTCGACACAGCAGCCGAAATCAAGCAGCATGTTGCTCAGAAAGCGCATCTGCACGAGAGGGTGGATGGGAGTGGGGTGTAGCGTAGTGGTGTGCGGTTGGGGATGGTGGGGGTGCAATGGGGGACCGCGGAATGCGGTTGGGGGGAGGGGAGGGGAGGGGAGGGGAGGGGAGGGGAGGGGGGGGGGGAGGGGAGGAGAGGGGTGGGGAGGGGAGAGGGGGGGTTGGAGAGTTGTGAGATACCACAAAAGCACATCTACAAGGAAAAGAGTAGTGGGGGTGGAGGGCGAGGGGAGGGGAGGGGAGGGGAGGGGAGGCGAGGGGAAGGGGGAGGACGGGAAGGGAGTGGGGGGTTGGGGGAATTGGAGAGATTTGAGATACCACAAATGCACATCTACAAGGAAAGAGTAGTGGGGGAGGAGGGCGGGGGAGTGGCGATGGTGCATGCAGCAGCTACAGCAGCCCAAGTCAAGAAGCAGTACAGTCAAGAGGCAAGTTAAAAATTTGTCCGCTACCATCTGATTACTCCCTCACCTGTTTTCTCCTCTCACCTGGTGGCACTTGTTTCAGGGCTCACCTGTTTCAGGGCTCACCTGTTTCAGGTCGCAGTCGAACCGCTTCCCGTGGCGGGCGAACAGCATCTTCCCGAGCCGCCCCGCGCCGTCCTTGAGCACCCAGTTCACCGCCAGCGCGCTCGCCGCCGCGCCGCCGCCGCCCGCGCCGCGCGACACTCCCAAGGCGTGCAGCAAGGAGCGCGTGGTGAAGACGCCCATCGCTCCGCCGAAGAAATACTGATGGGGGGAAGGGGAGACGTGGGGGGAAGTGCGAAGAGGGGGGGGGAGAGTGCGGGGAGCGAAAGGCGAGGAGGCGGGAATTATTGTGGGGAAGAAGCGACGGCTTGCGGCAGCAGCAAGCGCGTGGTGAAGACGCCCATCGCGCGGCCGAAGAAATACTGATGGGGAAGGAAGGGAGGGAAAGTAGGAAGGGAGGAAACTGTAAATGGAATGCGGGGACGAGGGAGATGAGGGAAGCCACGTGAAAAAAGAAGAGTTTTGAGACGTCTCCGCAAATGGAAGAAGAAGAGTTTTGAGAGAGTCTTCTTTTTACAACTGTAAATGGAATGCGGGGACGAGGGAGATGAGGGAAATGGAAGAGGGATGGAGACGGGACGGAGTGTGGGAAGGGAGTGGCGGAAGGGGAGAAGTTTCGGGAGGGAGGGAGCGTGGGGGGAAAGAGCGCACGGTGAGTATGCGCATGAGTCCGCCGTAATAGTGCAGCAGGAGAGAGAGGCGGGGGCAAGGAACCACCTGGAACTACCCTCCCTATATAATCAACCTGCAAGTACCCTCCCACTAAAGTCCATCTGCAAATGCCCTCCCGCTATAGTCACCTGCAAGGCGCGCCATCGCATGTACGGCACGAACGACGGAGCTACGCTGTCCGGAAACCCCTCGGGCAGGAAATTCGTCTTGAAAAAATCGGTTAGCTCCTGGAGTACAAAATAAAAAAAGCAG